AAACCAAAAAGAGAAACTCAATATTTTTTTTGGTTTAGAATGTTTTGAAATGTGACGTCAAGTCAAGAATTTTCCCAGAATTTCTGAGTTGAAGTTGTCAATATAGAGACTCGTCACATAAATGTTCCCATTCATTAACCACATTAATACAGGGGTAGTCTTGTGAAAAGAAATCCTGTGTTGAGAACAGAGTACAATGTCTAATGAAAGATTCTATTGAGTTGTGGGAACGCAGGATCCCGTGGTTTTGATACATTACATACTAGTGACTGAAATAAAGAAAATCTGCTGCTTCTGCTCGACCATCCCTCAGAGCACTCCCTGCAGAGCTAACATTTATGAAGTGCCTCTTTAATATGTATGCGGTGTAAAAAAACAGGGGAATATGACTCATTTTTCACAGCATTAGTGGCAGTTTGCCAAATTCAGGTCAGTGTTCATAAAAATCTAACTCTTCATCACGCTATACAAGAAGCGACAGCCTCAGACTGTTACACATCCTGAGTGCTAAAGAGGAGATTATGATTTATGCTCCAAACCAGGATAGTGGATACGTTTAATTACAGTGGAGGACTGAATTTGGCACCTGGAGAAGGAGAAACTCACAGTGAGGAGTGCATTTCAGGTTGACTTTCTTCCTTCGCTTCAGTGAAGAGAGTCTAAATATTTGACAAGCACACACTGTACAGGACACAGGGGACAGACAGTAGCAGGTTGAGGAGTGGGTTCTGCAGGCAGGCAGAGTGGGGCCACACCTCAGCCAAGGTTATCGCCAGGGCTCAGAGGGGGGACTAAAGAGATCCCCTTTGTGGTTCACAGCCACTCGCTTACATGACTGTCACACCACGAGGCGTGTGTGTGGAAGATGAGAGCAGCCGAGTGTACTGAGCTGACAGAGGAGCGAGAAGGAGAGAGCTGTGAGGAAAAGAAGGAGAAGACAGGGAGAGAGATAGGAAGTGAGAGAGAGAGAGAGAGAGAGAAAAGAAGTGGGATGTGGCAGACATGTACTGAAGACCTCCTTGGTACCTTTTCAAAGTGCTGCATGACACTTCCTATCACTGTGTTGGAAGAAGTGGAGCGTGTCAGCTCTGGTGCTCTCTCACCCATCTTGCCTGCAGAGCAATTACCATGGCACCCCCCTTTTGCTCTCCCCCCAGGCCACCATCATCACCATCATGGCCCCCCTCCCTTGCAATTCAGAGAAATCAGTGAGCAGACCTGTGACTCATCATTTAGAGTAATAGGCCTGTCCTGCATTCGCCTCAGGAGTCTCGTAGGAGGCTTAAGGAGCTCAGGGAGAGGACTAACCAGAGCAAAGTCATGTCACCTTTTATCCTTATTAGTATGATTCAGAATGGAAGTAATCTCTAGATTCTTAATCTGTTGGTGGAACCAGATTTAACAAGTCTTCTGGTTACTGTTGGTAGTAGTAGGATTATTGACCAGTAGTGTTTCTTTAGGGAATAGAGATATGCAGGAAAACAGTCCATGTGGAGAGGAAAAAGGGCTGAACACAATACACTGTTGTGCAATCCCAAAACACATTGGTGGTCATCTGAAAAGGATTAAGCTTTAATTAACATATTTAAACAGATATCTTTATACAAGTGCAGCTTCTAAACCCTTTCAGACTGAATTTTCCATCACCAATTTTCGCTTCTGATGTTGCTAGTCAGACTGAACAATGGCAACATTAGGGGAAAAACAAATCTTGGAAGTCTTTCATGGCGAACAGCTAGCTACAGTGGAAGCCCCAGAAAGCTGGGCATGGCTCCCAGAGGCTTTACATTTGTCAGTGTGATAGCTGATGGGTTTCAGTTTCGGAAAAAAAGTCAAGTCAGCACCATTCAAAAAGCAAGAAGTACATTCTAGAGATGTTCAGAAACCGATAATAGTGTTGCAATGAGTTTATGATAAAATGCAGGACTGTGGATATCGCAGGAATGTCAGTCATCGCACAGCACTGATAATATAATTCATTAGAGCCACAAAGAAATTAAGCAGTTTCAGGTAAAGTATCCTGAAAACTGAAAAACCTTGTGGAAAAGAAAACGCTTAGCAATAAATATATAGGTTTAAATATAAGGTAAGATTGATATTAGTTAGTACTCAGGTCTAGGTATTAGAAGGAATACTGGAAGGAGAGAATGATAAAGATTGTCTCTAGTAAATTCTAATTTGGAAGACATTGCAACTAAAACATTCCACTGACTCCCGCAAAGCATCTCAGCATGACTACAGGATGCTTAAGGTCACATGAGCAGCATTTTGACGTCAAATCAAATGTGTGTTTGCTAACGCTCAATAGCTGTTTATACACTGTGATTCCCTTATTTACAGAGAGACTGAGCCGAGGCATGACTGCAGAGCTGCATGTGTAATTTCTGTGTGTGCTACATAACACTATTGTTCCACCAGCACTGTGGTTTTCACTAAAGGGGTCGCAGTGGGTTTCCATGGCAACCTTTCAGTATAGATGGCCTGCTGCTTTTCCAATAGCGGTGATCATGAGCATCATTGGAGCAGCATCATTAGCAGGGCGCTCCCCAGGGCGGTGTGATCAGCACCAGGCCGGGGCATTAGAGAGCGTGCACAGGATGAGGGACGGAGGATTTGGCCTTTATCGTCCAACTGATGAGCGAACCTCCACTGCTTTTGTACCTGGGTGTTTATGTTTTTTTTCACCTGCATCTCTTGCCTTTTAGCCCCCCTCGTCTCTGCAGTGACAAACAAAGCCCCCTCCGAGTTGATCCCCTCACTGTTGTCGTGTCGACACACGCAATAATTGAATCATCCCTGCTTCCTGCGGCTGTCATTCACATGGCTGGTCTGCTCTGCGACATGCTTAGAGGAAGCTCGTGTTCACGGCTCTCTGCAAAGAGAGGAAAACACACACGGGAGTGAAAAATCCGCCCTCACACATTTGACTCTGCTCAGAGGCTTTAAAGACCCTCCTGAGGTAAACACTCACATGGTGGGAAAAGCTGCGGGTGTCTGAGAGGGAAGATGAAAACGATTCTGACAGCCACAGCCACCCTCCTAATGCATGACTTTTTCTGTGGAAATAAAGATATCCAAATAAAAGCCTGCACTCCAAAGAGCTGCCATGGGGGCTCCTAACACAGTTTTCCTCCAGCTGTAAACGTCTCACCGTCAGTTCTTGGATCAGAGTTTGTGTTTCTTTTACCTTGGTTTGAAATCAAAGTACAAACACTGAATGAATGCATGTTTACACTTGTGCATAAAAGGTACACTTACACCCACCCCTACCTGCTGTAAAGTGACATTTGAATTAACGGTGGCTGTAGGGAGAAGAGGAAGAGAAGACGTTTCATGAGTGCTTGAATTTCCTTTTTTATCTACAGCACTTTCCATCGAATACACACATTCACAAAGGAGGAGGCGTGAAGCATGGTAATCTATGAATTAAAGTGTGTGATTCATCTCCTCTCCTTAACCGCAGCATGACAGCTCCTGTGCTATGAAGTCTGCCAGCTGTTCCTCCCTGCAGATTGAATAAAAGCACAGGACTATTTTATCTCCCCTCATCTCTGTCAAATGGTTAAAAAAAGTCTCCATTCACAACTCCTGTATACAGTAGTAGACGTTAAAAAAATAAAAAATAATATACATAAAGGATGCGCACAAGGATGTAGGGATATCTGAGCAAAAGAAAACCAGCCCTGCCCATCTGTTCATCCCTCAGCCCGCTCTTCCACCTCACCTCCCTTGTCTCCCTCGTTTAGTGCTGAATGTGGACGCATCGAGTGCCAGCGGAGACAGAGGAGACGCAGGGTGATCTCTGAGGAGCAGATGGAGAGTTTCAATGAGCTGGAAAATCCAGAGTAGTAGTAGGCCTTTCCTCAGAGAGGATGGAGCTTGATACTGGTTAAACAGTGCCTCCCCGTGGACAAATACAGAATTGCGTCAACTCGTCGACGCAAGTTCGAAAGGATTTTGTTTTAAATTTGGTGTACTAGAATTTAAGAAGTCCTATCTAACTTATTAAGAATGTGATTTTGCAAAGTTAAATATGTAAAAAGAAAAGTTGATTTTGTCAACACTGTATTGCATATTAACACCTCTACCTTTCTGTAAAGTACATTTTGGATATATTTAATACTTATATTTTAGAGTGACTATTTTTGAGGCTATTATTTTGGACTGTAGAGTAGAATTTTTTCTCCAATCTTATGTATTTACTTTTGTGGTGCTTATTTGCTTTGATAACCTGCTTCTGTCACCTTCTGTCACGCTATATATTTATGTTTATATGTCCATAGAGGCTCAGGCTCAACAAGCTGGTGAGGAAGGCACACTGTGGTTGGCCTGGAACTGGACAGCTTGGAGACAGTGGCTAAGAGGAGGATGAGGGACAAAATCACAGCCATCCTGGACAACTCCTCTCATTCTCTCCATGATGACCTGTGGCAGATGGGCAGCAAACGTCTTATACTGTATCTAGACATATTTCCTTTGTTGACTGTGATTTCTAAATGTCCTGTGTCATTAACTAAAATCACAACTACGCAGTTATTCTTGCCGTACTAATTGGCAATTTAAAAGAATTATAAGAGCCCTTTAATTCATTTGAGTAGTGTATTTGCAGGAATCAGCAGCCAGTCGGGCCAAGCAGACAGTGCTGAGAGAAGCTTTCTCGTCTTTAAAGCTACCCTCAGACTGTCTAAAGGCAAAATGTCTTAAATGCAAGATCAACAGCACACCAAACCTAAACATTAACTGGGGAGCCAGGAATGCCCTGTGACTCACATTTTTGCTTCATTAGGTGCTTTTGTGTTTATGAAACCTACTGATCCAGATTCTGCCCTCCTCTGAGACTTCTGGTAATTAATATCAGGAAAAAAAGGAAAAGTTATTCAAACAGGACTAAAAAACATTTAGATCTATGAAAGTCCTAGTTCACTGTTCAGGCTGCAAATACTACACAGCAAACATTTAAAATCAGGTCATGTGTTTTAAGAATTCACAAGATTTCCAAGTACTTACATCGGATTTAATGAAAGGAAAAGATGAATTTGTGTATAAAAACAAAACACTTTATTACAATTAGGCTGAAAAAACCCAATGAAAACACAACTACTTTACAAGTACAAATGTTTTTCATTGATATTTACATTTTTTTTTCCTTGACATCAATAAAAAAAGACAATTTATGAGAAACACAAAATACTAAAGTACATGTATACAGTGTATTTGCTGCAATAAAAAACAAAGGACTAAAGGAACGTGCATTATTCTCCATTCAGTATCTATAGACAACAAGGGGAATAGACATAAAAGGGACTAATTATGGATACACTTATTCTAACGGACAGCTGCAAGATTTCCCATGAGCTTCAGCCTCAGATATCTGGTGATTCAGTGATAATTGTCACTTAGAAGTCATTGATGTTGTCTCTGTTGCTTGATCTATCGGGGGACAATTTTCAGTTGTGGTATTTTCAAACATTCCACATTACATTAAACAAATAAAGAGAAGGAACAATGTTGACTGTAATGCAAATTTATGGATCCCACCAGGAGTTACAGGAGTGCTGAGATTGAGTTGAAAGTTTAGAAACAACCACTGACATGTGTGTCATGTTGAACAGTTAGAATCAGATTAGAGATGGCTGCAGTGTGTGAGGTAAAGGTTTTCTGTGGTGAACAATGTGACAGGATCCGTAAGAAAAGCTTCAGCACAACGTCAGAGCTGTCACATCTGTACTGCAGGAAACAATCGCTCAATCCATTTCATTAGCTGCTCCCCCCGCTGGGCTTGGCGGGAGTTTTGGCCCTGATGCCACCCTGGCGAGCCTGACCCTTGGTGGGCTGTTGGGTCTGAGTTGGCTGCTGCGCGGTGGACTCGGCAGCAGAGGTCACTGCAGGCTGCTGGGCGGGGCTGTGTGGAGGAGGAGTCTGGATCTGAGGTGACGTGGCAGCAGTTACCACCTGCTGTTGGATGATCTTCTGCTGGACCACCTGGGCTGTTGCTGTTCCAGCGGAGATCATCTGCACCTGAGCAGGAGCGGACGTGGCCGCCTGGGTCAGAGTCACGGTCTGAGGCTGGGCCTGGATCTGAAGAGGAACATGAGCAAAACCTTAAGTTGGCTTGTTTTATCCATTCTGTCATGCATGGCGCATGTATAACGAGCAAAGAAAGTAATTGTTAAATCAGAATATACCTGAAAATTGAAAAAATTTATTGAGTCTATTACGTTTCCTTGATAAAGACATTAGATTAGGACAAAGTATAAAAAGATAAAAGATGTAACATAAAGGCATCATTTCGAAAAAAAGATGAACTGAAAGTGAATTTCTTAGTCCTCTTTCCTCAGCCAGTTCCTTGTATGTCCCTAAGACTACAGTAACATTTTTAAACTTGGTTGTAAAGACCGCCTGAGGATACGAGGCTCATAAAGAGGTTAAAGTCTGAGATAGAGAACAGACACAACCTCACATGGAAGTGATCAGCTACACAGACCTTCAGGAGAAACACTCTTACAAAGCTCCTACCTGCTGAGGAGAAGACACGATTTGTTGGAGATTTGCCACAGTGGTTTGCTGCTGCACCATTTGTGGGAGCTTAGCCACCTGATAAGAGAAATAAACAAGAGATTGTATGTCAACACACAATATTTATGTAACACTATACATACTGTGACTCACAAATCCATTCAATGATGTTCCCTTTCTTTCTGCCTCTCCCTCTGTCCTGTCACAACCTCAGCACAGTTTTAGGCAGATGGCCGTTCACCATGAGTCTGGTCCTGCACGACATTTCTGCCTCTAAAAGGCAATTTTTCCTTGCTGCTGTAGCTTTGATAAATGTTGCTTAGTGCTCTGCTCATGGTGGATTAATTATGGTTCTTTATAGATACTATAACAAAGAGTATGGTCTAAGCCTACTCATTTTGTAAAGTGTCTTGAGATAACAGGATGATTGATTAATGTGTAAATATTGATTTCTAGACTTCCACTGATGGTGTACCTGGATTTGTTGGGCTCCAGTGGGTTTCTGAGCCTGAGCGATGGATGTAGTGAAGAACTGGGTCTTGATTCCAGGTTGGAGTTGGGTGGTGGCAGCGTAGGTCACCTTCTGCTGCTGCTGAGCCGGCTGGGCTGCCTGCACCGTCACCTGCTGGGTGCCGATCTAAGGGGAATGACATAACTACAGTTAATAAAATCTCTCACCACACTTTATCTTTCTAATAGAACCATACCAAATGAACAACCCTGAACATAAGCATTAAGCACTAACGACAAACTTGTAACAAATCATGAGCTAATAAAACATGAAAGTTCATCGTCCCTGTTTGTGTACCTTTTGTTGCACAGTGGCCTGCCCTTGCTGCGGCTGCCCTGCTTTCTGCTGAGCAGCAGCTGCTGCCTGAACTGCTGCCGCCTGCTGCTGCTGCTTCTTCATCTGAAGCAGCTGCTGGACCTGTATCTGGGGGTATGACTGCGTCAGCACAGGTCCACCTAAAGAGAGGAGAAAGAGCAACTAATTAGAACTTCAGACGTTTGTCATGATGAAAAACACATGTTGAAACAACAGCATACAACAAGAGGAAATGCAACACAAACCATGCAGGCCAAATCACAAATGAATATAGCTTGATTTGTTTCTGGCTCAGTGAAAAAACTACAGGAGATGATTCTTCACATAATTTAAGAATTAGTTCAACAGATAATTTGTAAAGGCCACATGGACCTGAGAAGGAAAAAAGGAAAGGTTGCTCACTGTCAAAGAGATCTTATGAGTAAAGCAGTGAGTATATATTAATTTATCCAACACTTTTAAAACCTACAGTTGTAAAGTGCTCCACAAATACCAAAGATAATACTCATTTGTGAAAAAATAATTCATTACATTATAAAAACATGTCTGTAAGATGGCTTTGTCTACAAGGCTGAGTTTGTAGAAATGTTTACCTGTTTTCTGGGCCTGACTGATAGCCATACTGATGCCAGCTACAGTGACTGGCAGCGTTGTGACTCCAGCTGATGAGACCACAGCTGGCACAGAGACCACAGGAGGCTTGGTGAGGGTCACCTGGGCTGTCTGTCCTGCCTGGGCCTGAATCTGGCCCTGAGTGGGTACTCGAGTCTATGAAAGTGAACACAGACAGAATTAATGCTAATACAACCAGAAGAACAGGACGAGAAAAGAGGACAGGATTTTAACTGGACAATACTTTTCAATGTCTGTCATACCTGGTCTCTGGATCACTGTTGTTACACACCAACCATGTTTTGAGATGCTTTTCTCTAGATATATTTTTAGTAATATGACCAATCTTCTCTTTTGACTCATACGTTTAGGACCCATGGCGAGTTTTTTTACAATGTATTTACTCCCAAAAAGTGTGGAAATTCTCTGTCTATAGACAAACAAACCATTATCTGCTCAGTCTTACCAGTCTGGCCACTTGCAGGCTGGCCACCGTGGTGCCAGTCAGTACCGCTCCAGGTCTGGGTGCTGCCACAGCCGTCAGCTGGGGATTAGCCTGTGCAGCCTGTGCAGGTTGTACCTGAGCAGCCTGCTGAGCTCCTGCAGCCTGTTGGCCCTGAGCTGCTGCTGCTGCCACTGCTGCAGCGACCTGCTGCTGCTGTTGCTGCAGCTGCAACTTGTGCTTGTGCATCTTCAACAACTCCTGTAAACACAGATCAGCAGTTAAAGATAAAGTAACTGTTTTCACAAGCCGTTTGTAAAGCCCTTACATTGTTTGACAGTATTGTTTCATGAGGTCATTTGAAGTATTTGTTCCATTTGTATACACTCCAAGCTTTAATACCTAAAGGTCAAACCCAGATAAGAGGGGTTTTTTTTCTAACTAACAAAAACGGAGGTTGTATTTAGGGGTGACCCTTCCTTTTGAGCTTTCTTCAAAGTTTTGTTCGACAGAGCCACAGTGGACTGCCAATCTCAATTGAACACTGCTTATGACACAAGGATCATTCCATTTCAGCTTAATGGGGGTGCTAATTTTACATAGATTTGTCTGTTTTCTCCAAATAAACCATGGCTTATAGCCTATCTTGGTATAAATGTCAACTTACAAATACATTTAATGCATTTCTGAAAATATCTAGTACTTTGAATTGATCTCCTTAGTGTGTGCATGAATAAATCACCCGAAGCAGCATATCCACCTCTTCAGAATTTAATTGGCTACAAGAAATGACAGTCATCTGCACTGTTGCGTGCAATTGGTCGTAACAGAACAGGGGCAGGCACCTCCTTTCAACTCAGGCTCTCATTGGCTTTTAAAGGCCGGGAACAGTGAAAATGATTTCTATAAATGAATAAAATAAAAACCAGCTGTAGAAAAGGTGAATCAGTCCGTGGATCTTTTATGGTTATAATTTGTTCAGATTAAATCTTTCAGTGGATTTGTGCGGAAGACAAATAAGATTCATTACATGCGTCTTTTCTTATGTTGCAAATGAGAATATGGGTTGTATCAAGAGGGCTCATATATGGCCCTCTATATCTATGCTTGTATGTTCTTTATCGACCTGAACAACTGAATCAAAGAAAAAGGAGAAAGATTCAAGACGAAACACAACAATGTTATTATCTGATTCCCCTGCACCCTAATATTGTGCATGTAAAACAACCTTCTCAAATGTTAGTTTGAAACAGATCCAGAACTGTGACAAAACTAATACGCAATCTCAAAGTTACAACTGCTAGTATTTTCCACTTTATCCCACGTGGGAGAAATTGCAGTTTGTGTAGCTGTTGTGTAAAGATTGAGGTGGTGTACCTGGGGTTTGCCCACTGCTTTGATCTGTGGTGAAGCACCCTGCTGCTGCTGCTGTTGGTGCTGCTGAAGCTGCTGCTGACGGAGCATCTGCAGATGTGCCGGGGTGAGAGGCTTTCCTTGTGGCAGCTGCATACCTGTGGCTGAATGGAGAACAGCAAACACATCAGATCAATAAAACAACAGTACATGTGCATGAGGCTTTTATAAAAAGAAATGCTTTTGTTAAGTCCAGTACCTGGTGTGACCTGAGTGACCAGAGGGCGGGTCTGTGACTGCCCGGGGCTCAGAGTCGTAGAAACGACTGCAGACGCTGTCACTGGGGTAACCGCTCGAACACCTTGACCTGTAGCTATGGCAACCACTTCTGCCGGGGCAGCAGCAGCTGTGACAGCCCTCTGTTGTGCGTGGACCACCTGGGCTCCGGTTGCACTAGCAGGCTGAACAAACAACAACAACAACAGCAACACAATGAGAAACACTCAAACAGTAATAACTAAGCTGTGTACTGAGTAATGTGGGTGTGCTCTCTGCTTCATCCAAAGGCTATTTGCATCAAGAATTCCTGTTAGTCAGTAGGTGGCTGATTTCTGCCAGAGCAGCAGTAATAATGAGCTTGACTCACAGACAGGGTGCCTGGGATGACTGGAGATGCCAGGCGTTTGTTGGCCTGGAAGGGACTTGGAGGAACTCCAGCTACTGTGTTCACAATCACATTCCCCCCTACAGTGGCTGAAACAAACAAAGAGAAATGAATCAAACACTGGAACACCAACAGATCTTTAATATGAACCATATGAGTGTCATCGTACCCGCCTGGATGGTTGTGCCCACGGTGGCATTTTTTATGGCTCCCGCCTGAAAATCACAACAAGTATGATTAAGAGCTTTGGCTATGTAAAAGGCTTATTCAAGATCTTAGTATATGTAGAAAAATATCAATGGTGGATGCTTTGATTCTAACCAGAACTGCTGCATTAGGAACAGCAGCGGTTCCAGCCACTGCGGCAGTCTGGGGGACCTGAGCCTGAATCTGACCAGCAGCAGGAGCCTGAACCTGGCTGGTTGCAGCCTGAGCCTGGGGTGCTCCGGTCTGCTGCTGTTGTGCCAACTGAGCCTTCTGCTGCTCTGCAAGGGCCTGCAGACACACATACACAGAGACACACATTACACTAAATTAAACACAAATGCTGTTAGGAAGCGAAAAACAAGAACTTCTTTTGTCTGAAACACAAAGCAGATGCTCCTGATTGCTCTCCATAACAACAGTTTGGGCACAGAGTTAAATACCCTCATTGTCAAAAATAACCTTTTTCTCCTTAGCAATCCTCTCAGCACGTTGAGATGCCACCTGAATGGGAGGTAGAGGCTTGTCGTAGCTGATCCCGCTGAAGTAAAGAAAATCACATGTAAGAATTGAATCCTAATTGGAATTGGAAGAAGTCATTAGTAAAAAAAATAAAAAAAATAAATGGAAATATTAAACACACCTTTCTGCCAAGACTGAGGCATGTTTAGGATTCTTCTGGAATGGATTCATGCCAAGCCTGTAATCAGTCAAATTTAAAGAGATATACTTCAGTGGTTGGAAGAGAAAACAAGACGTTTATGCAAAATGCAGCAGCACGACTGGTCTTCAACCTTCCTAAAAGAGCACATGTCACTCCCACACTGGCTCCCAGTTACTGCTCGCATCAAATTTGAAACTCTGCTGCTCGCTTACAAAACAGCGACAAAAATGGCTCCTCCTTACTTTAACTCTCTCATCCAGGTCTACACTCCCTCCCGCCTACTATGCTCTGCCAATGAAAGGCATTTGAAAGGCAACCATCACAACAGGGTCCTAAGATGCTGACTAGACTCTTCTCCTCTGTTGCCCCCCGGTGGTTCAATGAACTTCCAAACTCCATTCGATCTACAGAGTCCCTCTGCACCTTTAAGAAAAAGTTAAAGACCCAGCTCTTTCATGAATACCTACTAACTTAATGATGATGGTCTCCATATTATTGATGATGATGATGGTAATGACAATGGTTTTTGTTTGACAACGACGACTTATAAGATGGTTTCTATACTGATTAGAGCTCTTAAGAACTGCCGTCAATGTTGTGCTTTGCCTCTGTGCACTGCATGTCAGCACCTGTGTGTCCAATCAGACTCAAAGCTGATCGTTTGCTCTTACTGACATTGTTTCCTTTTTTCTAGATCCTTGCTTGTGTTGTACTTACTCTCTGATGTACGTCGCTTTGGATAAAAGTGTCTGCTAAGTGAATTGTAGAATTTATAACGTTTCCACTCCTCAGCTAGAAACGACTCAAACTGTGGATTTTAACATCATCACTCCATGTCAAAACACTTCTTCATAAGTTGAAATAATGGATCACATCCGCTATAGGCTTACACATTGCTACATTTCCAATAAAAACAGTAGAAGCAGTTGGAGCTGAACCTGAAACCTGAACTTTCTTATTTAGAAAGTGCTTTTAAAATCTGAATACAGCTGACAGTAATATGAAAAACCTGCATCATTCTAAAAGCTGTATTTATAATTCCACATTCAGGGTCATCAATTTTACAAACACTGAATAGCCAATAAAACTTTTGGTGAATCACAAGTTTGCTGTAAACTACAGATGTTTTTTTTTTGTTATCCTGTTTACTTGCACGAGCTACAACATTGTTGAACATGAAAAAAACATTTGGCGGAGGTGTGGTAATCGCAGACAGTACTCACAGTGGTTTGATTGGTGGACTCCTTTTACTGGCGATGATCTTCATGAGCTCAAAGCGGCTGTTGTAGAGCTGAATGTGAGTGGCATTGTCATCCTGTGTGTAGATCTGAGATGTTCTTAGAGGACGGCTGTTCTTAGACTGAGAGAGGACACAAACAGAAACACACAACACAAAGAAACAGAAGAAAAGTGAGATCAGGGATTCAAGGGCAGGACACATTGATCACAGAAAAATGAGCAGGTGAAGGTACCTTGTATATGCTTTTGGTTTTCTTCTTGGGGTTAGCCTCATACACCAACTGAAAAATAGAAACAGAGACATGCTTTAGGTAAACAAGCACAATCAGAGTGAGTTCTTGTTTGAAAGAAGGTTGACTCTGTCTGTTACCTTGCCCTCTTCTCTGGGTATGATGACATTCTCGTAGCGGTTGCGACACTGTTTGGGCGAGCGGTAGATGCGGCTGCAGGAGTTCACAACATCGCTGACAAGATCCCAGTTCGGAGTGTGTGCAGGAGACACGATTGTCAGGTTCAGAGGCAATTCCAGCAGCTGCTTCACAGCCTGTCAGACAAACAGCAATGATATTAGTATTTTAAATATAGCTTTAGTCTTGCATGAGGATGTGAACTTCAAGGTTTACTCATATGTATTAAGAAAGCTCGGAAAGTAAGAACATCATAAGAGCAGGTGAGAGGGGCAAGTACCTGAAGAAGAGCCCAGTCCTCACTGATGAGCCATTCTGGGTTGTCCTGGCCAGCCTCCATGGCAGGTTTAACCAGCGAGGGGAGGGGCTTGGCAAAGGGTGCTTGCTGCTTGAGGGAAAAGTTCTTCTTTTGGTCTTTGCACTCACGTCGAACTTTAAGCATGCTGGCCTTTTCAAACAGGGAGCGTGGAGGAATGACAGTCTCCCCGTGGCCCTTCTTCTTCTTCCTGGCTGCTACTGGACAAAAAAACCCAAAATGTTTCTATGCAAGTCAATGTATATGTAACTAAACATGTAATCAGAGAGAGTGAAGGGCTCATACATTATGGTAAAGAGGCTCATGAAAAATGTTCTCTCACCTGAGGGGTCCATCTTGAGTCTCTTGTGCTCCTTGCGGACGTAGACCGGAGGCAGTTTGGCCTCTGGCATGGGGGTGGTGTCATACATCAGCATCATCACAGAGTCGATGTAAATGTCGTTGTCATCTTGTGGAGGTGTGGGAGGAGTCCAAACCTGTGACGAGAAGGGAAAAGACAGAATGTGACTTTATGATATGTCTCGATACAAAAAATGTTGATATGGAAGATGGGAGCATATCCAAATTCTACAAAATCCCACAGAAAATAGAATCATTTTCCAGACCATAAATGTTAGACTTGGAGATTTCTTGGACATTTTTTGACAGTAGAGCAAATAGCAAACATGTTGTCACATAAATAAATGTTATTAAATATAATATAAACTTCTCGCTATGTTTATTTTACTGTCTACAAAAAACAAAGATGAACACAGTTACAAATAAGTAAGTGTTACTTTGCTGATATACTACATCAGAACTCTCAAATGACCAGAGAAGCTAATATGGTCATTTTTGACACCATTACAGTTGCAAAGAAATGGGTCAAAGTGGGAATCTAGGGGCTTAAGTATTTTAATACTAATGAAGACCTAAAAATTACTAAAATACATAAAACAAATAAAAACGCTTTTCATACTGTGATGAACCCTGTCTCTTACCGGCATGATTTCTGTGTGGCCGTCCTCTGCATCAAACACATACTCCTGTTAAATCACAGAGAAAAGATTATTGTCAACAAAGGTGCAATACAATCCACACACCACTCCTTGTTTGATTAGCAGAGATCTCAATGGCCACCCACCATGTTGTAGGCATCCTCTCTGGTGTAGGTGAAGAGGTCTTCATCTCCCTCTATCATCAGCCGCTCGTCCTCCTCCTCTTTCAGCTTCTGCAGCTGCTTTAGCTCCCAGCCTCTCTTAAAGCTCTCTAACTGCTCCTGAGGGGGAAAAAAAAGGCACACAAAACATTAACAGTCAGATAATGACACCAAAGGGCAAAATGTACAATGAAAAGCCATCATCTACGGGCAGAAATGATTTACACGAAAAAGAAAATGTATTTGTTACAGTAGAAGTTACCTTGAGAGCAGTTTCATCGTCACTGATGTGGAGGTACTCAAGGTAATGCAGCGCATACTTTTCAATAGGTGTGAGCTATTGAGGTAAATATAAGACAGGCATTCAATGTATGCTTGTACATCCAATTTTTAAGTAACAGTGAACAAATTAAGCATAAAGCTACCTGTTCCATGACTGCGTTCAGCTCCTCTTTGTGAGCGGGCTCTCCTTTAGCTACACTCTCTGACTCTTGGTCCTCCTCTGTCAACTCCTTGCCTTCTAACTCCTCCTCCACCTGCTGCTGCTCTTCTTCCTCTGCTGGAGCATCCAGATTGATGCTGTGCAGAGCTTGGATGTAGGGCCGAGCCACTCTGGGAGAGATGGCTTCAGAAGATGACGGTTCCTGATGAAGTACCACAAACTCCTCCACCTTCTCCCCTGAGCCTGCCTCCACCTCGAACAGATCCTGGATAGTCCGCTGCAAACACAAAATATTGAGACAATTACTACACCTCATGGGTTTATTAACCTTTTCTATCTGTTGGTCTTGGTGTAGAAAAAAATTAATTATTTTCTTATATATGCATAAATAACCTTCAAAGTTTGAATAAACGTAAAGCAATGACAACAAATAAAGGTGTGCGCAGTTTCTGAAAGTCTTACTTGTGTGAGGAAAGCCAGGGTGTAGTCAGTACCCTGAGCAGCCACCTCTCTGATCAGATCCTTGGTGCCGTTCTTCAGCAGCTTCTCTTCAATAGAGTTCCCACTCTCTAGCCTGGGCAACACACAGAAAATGACCAAACTAGTATCAAGTTTCTTGGGTTTTTAAAAAAAGGTTCAAAATGATAGCTAGAGTTTTGACACACAAAGTAAAGCAACATAGAAAAGGGGACGTCAAAATTGACTTCCCTGTGTTGACAATATTACCTGTATATGTGTATATCCTTAGAACGGCCTATTTTTTCACACCACTCCTGTGTGCGGGCATCCATGCTGGGATTGAGGTCTGTGTCATAGAAGATGATGGTGTCTGCATCAAACATAGTCCCGACTGCAGAACAGCAGCGGTTTGTCAGGATACTGCAGAAAACCCTCCTGTTCCTGTTGAACCTTTTTATATTCTCCTGCAGGGACATGACACCAACACATGAACAAACTGAGTCAGAATTCTGAACAGTATGATGAACTTTCATAGATCATGAAGAGAAAAGACAAGGAACCCACACACACTGCCCATCAAGGCGCATGCTCTCCCACGATTGGTTAACCATCACGATAACAGAATTCATGACTGTAACTATATAAATCATTTACAGCCTCTCAACAAAAGATTTATTGTGAGGCTGTGGTGTTTGTAACACCGGCTGAATTACAATTTAGGAGCTTGTTATAAATATGCCTAGTCAGAACCACTTTAAATAGTATTCATTTTACCTGTCGTTCATCAGGAGTGAAGCTTTCATCCACTCGCACATAAGTCAGCTGCCTGTGATCGAGGAAGGCTTCCAGGATGTCTAACATCTTCACCATCTGAGTAAAGATGAGGACACGACGGCTCTCTGATCTTAACTTCTGCAGCAGAATGGCGAGAGCCTCCAGTTTACCTGTGGAAATGAAAAATATGTCAAAGTGTTATTCTTGGCAAGGTCAGTTGTTTTAGCTTGTGGTGTTTCAACAAGGATTATACTGGCTGCAGAGACTCTGAGAATAGTAGATCTAAAGACCAAAAATGAAAATATTTTCATCTGCCAAAGGGGGACCTGGCAGAAAAGGTTTGGTCTGGTCTAAGAGATGGTTGGAAATGGAGGGCCGATTACTCTCATACTTGAGAAAGGTAAACTAAGCAAAGTGTGAGACGAGTGATTGAACATGTGTGTGCAGACTGATTACAGTGATGTTTTTACATGTAAAACATTTAAGTTTTTTCTCCTCTTGCCAGTCTTAGCGTGCTAATAAGAAGTAATGAAAACAGTAATTATGCTAACCTGAGTCCATCTGCATCAGCTGCAGGTCAGGAAAATGGATGAGACTCCTGGATGTAAATTGGTGGATATCAGCACCTAGGGGTGCAGAGGCCTCTTGTAGCCGACGTTGAAAGGATTTCTGATCCAGCCGGTAGGGAACCGGTGGATTGGCTGCATACAGTTGAGGAGGTGGGGCTACAGCTCGAGGCACCACACAGACCAGTCTACAAGATGACAATTGTAGTCAGTGGTTGATATATACAATATATGTACATAAGATAGTTATAACAGGAGTTGATAATAAAATATCTCAAATTGCACTTTAAATAAAACTATCTCAAGTTTTTAATATCTGCTTTTGTGGTGCATATTCTGCACGTTTAATATTGCAATGAAATTGTTTTACCACACCCTCACAGTTCTTACTATATGGCTATTTAGCCAAATATAACCCCAAAGAGTTGATAAGAAGAGTGTTTAATGATGGTTAAAAACATCCGCAGTACAGGACAATGGAGATTTTGTGTTAAAGTACCTCTTGGTTATGTTGTTTGCAGCCTCCAGGCGGTCCTCCACAGAGAGCAGAGTGGACTGCAGTGTAGAAGTGCTAGTCATGCAGGTTCTCTTGGCCCTCAGGCAACTCTCTATGCCCACCCACCTCCAGCCTCCAGCTGTCAGGGCCGAGTGACCCGGCTCTGAGCTAAGAGTGCACGCCTGCAGCAGGTCGGAGCCATACAAAACTCTGCGACTGCAGCGTCGCTCATTCGCTTCAAACAGGCGGCCCAGACGCTCTTTCAGCTGCTGAGTCTTCTCTTCTGATGACTCCTGAAGATTACGGAGGGAGATGTTACACACAAAGGTAATTAGTCATTTTTGTTGAAGGCATAAAAAGACTTCAAATTGAAAGCAAACGTTGTCAACATGATTTTGACTGAGATTTAATGAACTTACCTGAGAACCAGCATTAGTAGCAGTAGTGAGCTTGGTTGGGGCTGATGTGGCATTTGTAGACACACCCAGAGCTTAAAACAGAAATATACAATGTCCATAGATTACTTACTTGTACTGACTTACAAATACAGTACTATGATATTTTCCCCCCAAAAAACAATCCAAAATAAAATATGTGTGATTATACAGGGAAGGTAGTATTTAATAGCCTTATTAAATGTATATCTATTTTTCATTCTAATAATACAATGGAACTGGATGATGTTACTAAATAACTCAAGAGAATTCAGTTAATCATACATAGTAATGTCATCACTATAAAAGGGGCACCTTGTTGGCCTGCTGACAGCGCAGGATGAGGTGTGCCAGGTGTAGCTGAGGCATTGGATGCAGGAACAGCTTGTGGCATTGCTTGCATCACCATCGATCCCTGGGGCCTGATGAGCTGCTGCCCGGGAGTCGACATAATCTGCAGGATGTTACCTAAATAGACAACACATACTATTAGGCGTACAATATCAGATGCATTTTCTCAAAACCTAACACTAGTTTGAATAAAATTTGAGACCTGTTTGGCCATCAAAATAAATGTAAGAGAACAAAAACACATGAATGAAGATGAAAAAAGTTTACATGACAAGGTGGAAACTAGTGGATACTGTGGATGAATTCGATGCTGTTGTAAAGTGGTTGTGTATTTGTTATTTCTTAACAGATACTTGACTCTGTCTCCTGCCCAGGGACTACAGAGGTAAATTAGCTTATAGCGAACGTCTAGTACAGCTAAGTGGCTGTACACTGTCCCTGTCAAAATAAACAAATAAAAAAGTGTCTCTTTTGTTAGTTTTCATGAACTTTGCTGAGTTGATTTTTATTTTTTTTACATGTAAAAATCACAAGTGAGTCACAATTAAAATGTCATAACTGCTTTTTGTTTCTCACTGTTGACATTGGTGATGTCAGTGTGGATATGCATCATTGCTGACTACATATTACCTTTCTTACACCAGATGTGCATTAATTACTTTTAATGAATGTCTTTTTAAAATGCAATAATGTAAAGAATTTACAAAATTCATATTGTGCATCCCGATATAAAAGTCTTCAAAGTTATCACAACTGATAATTAATAAAATGCGTAACATGCATGAAACTGAAAAAAGAAGAAGAAGAAAGAATGAAGAGAATTAGAGAGTATGAAAATGGGATGTACATTACCGAGGGTACCTTGGATCTGCAATGGCTGCCCGGTGGTGAGCTGACGGAGCTGGCTGGGAGACAGAGTGAACTTGTTTCCCTGAAACTGCAGAGTGACTGGAGTCTCCTGCTGTGAGATACGATTCTGTGTGCCGGCCATGTTGGCCAGTTGGGCAATCTTCACCACATCTCCACCTTCAGAGGAAAGAAAGAGCAAACACTTCATCAAAGACGGCATTAATACGTCTGCAGAATTTTTGGGACATTTCAAAAAGTAACACTTTTTTTTACTCTGCATCAGTTAGTTGAAGGGTGAAAAGAGACAAAACATGCAGACCCAGGGTGGATTAATCAGAGAGTGAGCACAGCCGCCCTCCACAACAGAACCATAGCAGCCTCTTACTTTAAAATGAAACTAATCCTGAAGGGGGGGAAAGAAAATGTCTAGAAGGCAGTCCTCAGGTGAGACAGAGAGCCTAAAACATGACACAGGTAAATCAGAGCACTCGTCTCCCTACACGTTACTGCTCAACGGGAGGCCCACATTAGAGTCGGCATCCTGAAATTTTTAATTCTGAACAACCTCTATCATTTTTTTCTCATCTCTGATATGGCTTTCAATCAACCTAATTTGATTTAAATAAGACAATACATAAGAAGTAATTTAAATGTTGTAATTAAAAATGACATGATGTCTCTCAGATCTCTAAGGCAAAAGAGTATGTTTACAACACAAAAGTATGAAATGATGTAAGATGTTTAAAATCTTCAGAGCTAAGCAGTAATCAATGGCAAATGATAAAAATCTATCTTTGATTAAATAACTTTTGGATTAGCAACACTTTGTGCTTTAGGAAGGGTTCAATTTTACTTTGAAAAATTTTAGCTTTTATGTCTTTGCTTCAAAATTACACTTAAAGGGTTTAACAAATCTTTAGTTCTGCCATTCAAAACGCAATTATTTCATCTTATACATCTTGTTGATAAGGCTTCTCCGTACATGTAAAAGCAGAAAGGGTTGGCAACTTCCACATGCTTTGCAGTGATGTACAACTTCAAAGTGAAATCGTAACATTGGCAAGAAAAAAACAAAACAACCAAAGCGTTGGGATTTCTTCCTGCAGCTGGGCTGATGCAAGAGACAAAAGAAAATTAGTAAACTGGGAAAAAAATAATTAAAAAGAAGGGGGAGGAAATAATAACTCAGTTAAACAGTGTAGTGGTGTGCGCTGAGTCGGCCACAGTGTTCATGCAGGTTTCGAGAAAGAAACTGAAGAATACTCAGGCTGTGGAGATGCTGCTGATATGGCTATTATGTAATATTAAGGGATCCTTTGTAGGTTTATTGTTTTATGCTATGTTATTTTTACTTAAATCTTCTGTTACAACAAATTCTGCACAAGTGCCATTAATGTCGAGCCCAATTACATAGCCAGTACTCTGAGGGAATAAAGACTGAACACATATCAGCAGTTCCCCAAGTGAAGGCCTCAGTGAAGAGCAGCCCATACTGTTGTGCCAGAGGGTGGAGGGTAATTCTGAGAGGGAGGGAGGCCACTTACTAGGCAACCGTGCCTGGGCCTGGGATGTTAGAACCAGCCTCTGGGACAGTAAGCTTGGCTGGATTGCATGGCTGGGGGCTAGAGCTGGCCTGGGGACCTGTGTTAATCCAGGCTGGTTAATGGAAGCTAATGAGCCCATAACTGTGCCAGTTAAAGTCTGGCCCAAGGCCACAGACGCTGGCCCCAACACATGCTGCCCAACGCCAGTGTTCCCAGAGGAGGCTACAATGGAGGCGGCAGTGTTGCTGCTGCTGATGACAGGAGGGGTAGTCAGGGCTCTCTGAGAGGCTGTCCCGACCGCTGTGAAGTACAAGGCACCGGGGTACGGGGCTACATGTTAGCTGTGACCCAATATTTGGTCTAATTATCAGTAAGGTCATTGAACATCCTTCATTTATTCAGCTGTTGAGGACGGACTAAGCAAGCAGTATTAGGGATGTAATAATATGAACCATGGTATTGATATACTGGATAATATAAATACATATTTAACCTAACATTGAATTAAGTGGGTGTGTCTGTAGAATAGCAGGCCCTTCTGTGGGTGTGCTCAGTGCCAACAGAACTTCCTCCAAGCAGTAATTGGTTTCTTTTTCCTGCAGCTTGTCATCTTAATAGTTTACTTTGAGCATTGATTCTTCTATAATACCCTCCACTATTACATTCCCATTTGCATAGCTTTAGTATTTATTTGATCAATAAGCTGTTACAGGGGATCACAGCATGTAGTCAACAAACAAAGTAGTAACATGGAATCTGTAGTTGCCTCATATTTATTCTTGCCATAATTAAATGCAACCTTTAAAGAGGAAAATGGCAAGCCCACCAAGTATAAATGTAAACAAATGTAACCTCCGTAGTATGATTTTATGATGCTATGTGAGTCTAATTGGTGTTAATGTTTATATGTTACTAAAGCCTCTAACCAAAGGTAATTTTCTGTCACTGAGATAGACAATACATTTTTTTTAAATTTTGAAACCTGCAAGTGAAGGTGTCTGTACTTCTCCATGAGGTTGAACAAGTACCTCACCTTTCAAATTTACAGCACTGTTTTTAAAAATGTACAAAATATAAATAAATGCACATGTCCATTGTCTATGTTTTCTTAAAGTCCCTTCAAATACATGTGTTATACACATGTACATTCTTTAACGCACACAGTGCAAGCACATTTTAAACCAACACAACAGCTATGGGTGTTTACATTTGTCATATTAGGATTCCATCTTGACTCCTTTGCCCAGTGTAATACAAACAATCCTGTCATTTACTGAAAGGGTCTTACCTTGAGAAGTGGCTGTAGTAGTTGCAGAGGTGACAGGGGACTTGCCTCTAGCCTGAGCTGCTTGGTTGGTTGTTGAAGCAGAGGTGCTTGTAGCAGGAGAGCTTGTCGGTGGGCGCTGGCCTGCTGTACTCGTTATTGTAGCAAGGCGGCCCTCTGGCTTCGTCCCATACTGCACCGGCTGGAACAATCTGATGCAAGAATATCAATGTTATGATAATAAGTTAACATTTAGAGCAAATCAAAAGATCTCCACATGAATCCTGCATTGTGAGATTTTTATCACATCTTATAATCTGTAATCAACTCTGACTGAACATTAATGCTTGTATCATTTTTACTTTTTATTCACTTCTTCAATTGTATTGCTTTTACTTTACTATCATTTTTTTTTTTTAGATCTTTTGTTTCTAATTTAATTCTTCAATCTCAATTATTCTTGCTGACCTTTTGCTTTTGCATGTTGTAGACACAATGTTTGGCTTGACTATTGATGCTTATTCTTTTATATTCCTGAATTCTTGCCTTTGCTTGTCTGTCAAAGCACCACATAAACATCTGTTTTTAGAGGTGCTATGTTAATAAAGTTATTATACTGTTCTTATTGCTGACCTCATGGGTTTTATTGGGCATGGCTTTGGTCGTGGTGGTGGATCTGGACCAGTGTAGATCTCCTCGATGAGCTGCTGAGTGACCTTCAGTTTGGGTACCGCCTCTTCAGTCTGATACCGAGTCAGTCTGTTCTCATTATTGATCAGATCGAATATCGACATGCTGGCGATCTAGGAGGATAGAAGACAACAGCAGAAGTGGATAAAGGTTGATTGATTATTAATTTGTTATTTGCTAATATTCACATTTTAATCATTGAAAAATATTTGACATATGCACAAGGTTCTTTGCTGTAAAATATTGATGATAACAGGCAGGTTCAAAATAAGAATTTAAAAATTTGAAATCCTTTTCATCTAAAAAACAACAAACACTAATCATTAATATTAGTATTAATAAGTGGAGCAACATTTTTTTCAGTTCAATTTATAATAAAGTCTTTCAAAAGTTTAAAAATATAATGACACGTGTCCATCCCATGTTGCTGGAATCCAAAGTGATTTCTTAACACTGCTAGTTCTTTCTGTATAATGTAAACTTCAATCCATATATAAGTTGCACCGGTATATAAGGCGCAGTCTGTTTCTGATTTCTATTGCGTTCAGTGAAGTCTTCAACGTGCAGTTTGTGTACAGCTGTGTCGCTCTTTTAGTTCAAATTGTTTGCGCATTGTGGAGATTGCACTCCTACTAGCTACAGTACTGTAGTTGAGCTCTCGGCCTACAGGGAAAGTGGACACTCGTTAACTTTAATATAGGACTTCTTTTAATCAAAAAGTGCTCCTTTACTTAACAATATGCCACCGCTTGCAGGAGGGAGGGAGAAAAGATGAAAATATGTTAAAAAAGTAGCACAGCCAGTCTGCTCTGTGTTGCTATGTTTCCCAGCACAGCAGCAATCAGCTTGTATTTCACAATGAATGGGGATGAATTTTTTAATTGCTTCACCTCTTGAGTAGTGTGTGATGGTGGCGCATCCAACTTTTTAGATTAAAAGAAAAAGGTATTAAATGTGCGTCCTATACATCAGATTTTAAGGTAATAAAAAAGAATGGGACAATCTTTAAATTTTATCAACACCACGATCCTTATGTTTCAAGCTTTGACAAATTAACCAGTTTGAAGAAAGATCATGGATGAATTCTCTTCATCCCCTCACAGACTGATCCTCTTTGCAATGCTGAGCAGGTGTTTGCAAACATTTTTGAGTTTCAACAGTTCAACATCTTGTTGCTCATCCATGATGCAAAGCACTCGTGTTTACCTTGCTTGATTCCTTCTGAAGAGCTCCCAGCACCTGTGATGGGATGTTGTATTGTAGGGAGGATCCAAAGTAAGAGCTGTTGTTCTCTCTTCGCACCACCAGCTCAGGGTGGTTACACACTCGCTGTAACTGCATCAGAACCTGAAGCACACTGACAAAATGACCCGTCTTCAGAGCCTCCTGAGATCTACAAGAACAAACCCAGAGAGAAGACATGGTATTAAAAGCTTCTACATTTGTACAGCTTGACAACTTTAACCATTTTGTTTATATTTCTTTCTACACAGAGAATTATAAAGGATTTAGTCCTTAAGTATTTCTTCAGTGAACATGAAGTGTTTTTGATACTGTGGAGAATAAAAACATTTGTAAAAGATTTATTCAGAAAAAAAAGGTAATAAGTCACAAAGTAGAGCATTAATTGCATTTGGTAAAATACATTTGAGGACTGTCACACAGCAGTAATACCACTTTTGATTAACATTATATAGATCTCTGATTTACAGCTTTATGTCTGGATTGTACTTTGTAAAGCCTGATTAGTTTGTGATCAAAACATCAGATAAGCGCGATATAAAACTGTATTCTGACATCACAATAACTAAGTGCAAATATCTCACCCTGGTTGAGTGAGGATATCCTCATAAAGGCTCTTCTGTCTGCTGGAGAGACGACACTTCAGGATGTGCTCATACTTCTTGGGCAGCTGTTTCTCCACGTCCCTTTTTGAGCGTCTCAGGATGAAAGGCTGGATCATCTACAGTTAGGAGTGATACGATTTCATGAGTAACATTCATTTAAGGATAGCATGTGAACCAAACATGGTCTTAACTTTAACATGGCACAGTTTAAAAAGCGGGGGAATTTGCACGTGTAAAACCCACCCTGTGTAGGCGGATGACCAGTTTGTGGCAGTAGTCCTGGTTCTGGTCTGTTCCTGCCTTAACAGGGAAGTCTGAGTAGGGTCTGGTGATTCCTGGCAAAAGGAAGTGGATCATGGTCCACAGCTCCTTTAGAGTGTTTTGTAAAGGAGTGTTGATGAGGAGAATCCTTTGCTCGCTGCAAGATACACATAAACCTCACACTTAGTTAAACAAGCTTTTTTACAAGCAGAATATTAAAGAATTACACTTCAGTAGGGATGTAATTAGTCCTGAACCGTCATGGTACAGATGTCAGGGTTCTGTGCATGCAGTTATTTCACAAACACGTCCAAACTGAGAAAAAAGGCAGTCTAACATAGCAGTGTCAACCCCCCAATTCATATAGTGTTAATGTGTGTAACTGCCAACCACTATAAAACAACGCAGGAGAAGAAGCAGACACAACAAAAGAACAAGAACAAGGCAGAGCTAGAAAAAAATCTGCTTCTTTACATCAGCTGTGTGGGGAAACTTCAGGTTCACAGTGCAGTAAGTCATTGGAGACACTACCAGCATGCTAATGAATATTAGACAGCATCAACGTGCAAATCAAAAGAGCTAGACAAAAGAACACAGGTGTCTAACAACTTATCCCCTGCTGTGTTTAAGACAGGACCCCGGCTTCAAGTATTTGTTAAAAGTGCTCAAAGAAGTCAGTCTGTGGTTGCTTCCTTTACTGGTGTACAAAAACAATTATTCATACTTTCAGGAGTATCATCAGGAGATGTTATTCATTTCTGAATTTTATTGAGCATAATTTTGATGTTAATGTTTAATAAACTGAATAACACAAGATGAAAAAAACTGTACCTAGCTCTACTGTTGGTTCAAAATAAATTAGAGAAACAGAATTATGCTTTGGGGACTATTTTTTCTAGCTTCTACCCTGGCTACACCAAAGCTGTACAGAACTGTGACTCCACAATCAGGTATGAATGGAATTGTGACCTCTGTGTACAGTTACACGCCAACCATAGAGACAAAAAGTCCCTCTGATGGATCAGTCAAGTGATTTGCTTATACTTCAAAAGAATGGTTAGTGTTTCATAGAACAGATGAAGAATTGATAAAAAAAAATGTTCCCAAAATCTTCTTCCTGAGATCTGTTCTTCATATTATATTGATGAGCCAGCTTACCTTTTGAGAGCAAAGACTGTTTCCCAGTGTTTCTCAGTCATGTTTTTGAGAAGTTGCACCTCATCCAGGACCATGTGCCTCCACCTTCTCCTCAGAAAATGGCTTTGGTCTTTCATCAGCAATTTGTAGGATGTCAAACAGACATGGAAGCTGTTGGCTTCTCCCCACCACTGTGTTAAGAGATCGAACAATATGTTAAAGCATTAACCACCGTCTAATTAGGAAGTTCATCAGAATGTGTTTGTTCAAACACAAAAACTACCTTTCTCTTAAATCTTCTCTCCCGCCTGTTGCCGAGATAAAGGAGGATCTTCAGGCCAGGACACCAGCGCTTGAACTCAACCTCCCAATTCAGCAGCTTGCACGTTCTTACCACAATAAGGTGGGGTCCCCAGATGCCTGTTGAGGAAAATTAAAACATTTTAATGACATTAAAAAAATAATACAAATATTAAAATCTTGTTTATTTAAATAAACAGAGGTATACCTTCTTGGCCTGCTAAGTGGGCCATATATGCGACTGTCTGTACAGTCTTGCCGAGGCCTGTCTCATCTGCCAGGATGCCGTTGAGGTGTTTCTTGTTGAGGTTTACCAGCCAGTCGACACCGATTTGTTGATACTCACGCAGGGACCCATGCAGTAGAATAGGAGCTGGGCTGCGGGTCTATTCAAGTAAGAGAGCAGTTAAAAAAATGATTTCAGACATTTTTAATTTGTTCGTTTTGTAGACAAGTGTGTGTCTTACAGAGGAGGTTGTCCTGAAGCTTCCTTTGGGCAGGATGAGCTCTGTGGTGGCAGCAACTTCAGCTATGTCTCTGGCAGGCTTCCCATCAGAGTCAGAGGAGGTGGATTTGTCAGCTCCTCTGTACTGGTCTACACTGAGCAGAGAGTCTATCTTCACTGCCTCAGGTGGACTGCTTGCAGGACATTCTAGATAGATATCGATATACTTTATTAATCCCAAACTGGGAGATAGTGGTGTTACAGCAGCAGCAAATAAAGCAACAGAAGAATAAAACCCTGACAAATATAAATACTACCATATTATACTTGAGGAATATGAAAAATATCAACTATTTTACAGTCATATTATACAAAAACATCAGACAGAAAACCTGAGATAGATAGAACAGGTATCGAGATGAACATGTTAATACTTTTCAATTAAAAACGCACCTTCACTCTCCTCCATGTCTTCCTCCTCACTGTGAGGACTTGGCTGAGGCCACTCAAAGCTGTCAGCGTAAGCGCCTGCATACTGCTTCTTTAAAGCATCCAGAGTCATCTCAGCTAAAATACAAAAACATTTGAGTTAGCAATGTAGACACAAAGGAAGGGAATTCTGATGCTAGTGTGGCATATTTCAATCAGCATACAGGAAAAAATGTTTAAACAATTTGATTTGTGATCTGTTGTTATTGCGACACTATCAGCCATAACAAATGTGAGGACGTGCTGCATACCTCAGTGAAATGCCAGAATTAAAAAAAATGATAATCTTTTCAGCTTAGTTCGCTGACCATGTCATACAAATGAGGTTTAAGAATAAACAAAGTTCTCCTCCAAAATCCTTCATCTCCATATACACAAAGACCAAGAGAAAAAGTAAATGAATACCATCTTTGGCAAGGTCAACCAGCTCTGCTTTGTGGTCTGCTTCCCCCTCCATCACCTCCTGCTCTTCTATGGTGCTCTCTTCATCTGGGACTAAAAGACAAGAGATACATTATGAACAGATGAAAATAGTTTGGGGTGATGCGTGAAACTCACCCTGTTGTTCATATGTCAGCAGTTTTAAGGCTACTGAGGAAGGAAAGCTGACTGAAAAAGACACTGTGTCGAGTTGCCATATTTGTCCGTCAAGTAGTGCTCCCAGTAAAGAAGCACTTTATTTTACAACACTACCCACTCCATTTGTGCTCTGAGGGAAACGGAAAAAGGTTTTGATACTTTTTAATTGAAACATTTCAGATTTGATGAGAAACAAAATTAATTCTTCAGGACTAAGAGAGCCATGTCAAGCTTTGTGCCCTCATCCATCAGACTCTTAAATAGCTTATCTATCTATTTATGTATTTATTTATGTTTAACACCACTCTTTTGAACCTTTCTGAACATTATTCATGACCTATTTATCATGGGTTGAATATATCTCACAACTTAGCTTGAATATTTATTCATTTTTAACCTTTAAGAAACGTAAGCTTTATTTGTTGCTAATCTGTCATGCCTCATTTTGTATGGCTTTACAAGCTTCACTCACTCAGGACTCTTTGATTGCACTTTGGATGTTGATATGTGATACGTGTGTGTGTGTGTGTGTGTGTGTGTGTGTGTGTGTGTGTGTGTGTGTGTGTGTGTGTGTGGGGTTTGTTTTTGTGCTGGGCTGTCATTCCTGTGAGCTCTGTGTGACTGATGCTATTTTACATGACTGAAGTTCCTAATGGATAAATAAAGTTATTTGAATTTGAATTTATAGGCACATTAAGTTATGAGCATAATGACAAGAGCCCAGAATGGTGACTGCACGAACATGACAGATGCTTTTACAGCTTAGGTAATATATACAGGTTTACATATAAACTAGTTTTATGCTTTAAAAAAAGATTGTAGTATAAAATGTTTACGTTAAATGGTGTCTTCTTTTAGAGATGTTTTTACCCATATTTGTTTTGACAGGTCTATAAATGTAATTTACAGACTGAACACACAAATCGTTTCATCTCAGTTGTTGTGAAATTTTGTGAAACTGACCCTGAATTGCGGTGGATAAATTAATTAAATCCTGCACTTTTTAGGGGTATGTTGTATTCTTTAGTTCATCAGGAATCTGAGGCGTCATGTATTGCTATAAACTGATTCTTGCTTTATCGTGATAATATTGTTATTGTGTGTCATGCATTGCATATCAAATCTATACCCTGTGATCACCAACCCTAGTGTAAAGCTTTAAAGACTGTTTTAACATCTGCTTTATTTTTTTATGTTTGATTCTTTGGAACTTACCATCTTCATCAACAAAAGATGAAGTTGATTTCCTTTTTTTAGCTGAAGTTCCCACCTCCTATAAAAAACAAAAATGTGTATTAATAATATAAATAAGATGAAAGAGTTTCATTTTGGTTCTGAAAGTGTCAGCGCTGCACTTACCTCTTTATCACCTTTCATGACTGTTGACTGACCAGGCACTGTAAGACAAGGAAGATGAATTCAAAACTGTGGTTAATAAAAAGGCAGTTTAGGTTGAGTAAGATTAGCGGAGTTTAGCTTTAACCCAGAGTCAATGGTTGGGTAATTAAATGCTTTGTGTATAAAAATATATATATATATATATATATATATATATATATATATATATATATGACTTTAGTTTTTGATAGCTGATTTGAGAGACATACCTTTGGCTGAGGCTTTTTGTAAGCCGAGTGCTTTTAGTCTCTTCTCATAAAACTCAAATTGCAATTTGATTTCGACAACCTGACAGAAATAAATACAAAATTAACACTGTTAATATATGCAAATCATTAGAAGGTTAAACGATAAAGAAAATGTATAAATAATTAACAAACCTGCTCAATGTTTGACCAGAAAAATTCCACCTCTCTGGCAATTGTGCTGGCAATGTGGCGATGATGAATTTCCCTTTCTCTCTTTGACCTCTCTTCACTTTTCTTCTGCTCTTGGTGGTGACGGGCACAGGTGCGAACAAGCTGTAAGGAGACACAGATGAAAGATAAACATGACATCTGTTTTTTAGGTTAGGCTAATTTGTAATTTGAATTATTTAATGAATCATTCAATCTCTGTCTTACCTTCTTAGCTGCCGCGACTTTCCATCTCCTCTCCTGAGCAAAATCAGCGGCCATCCACTGCATCTCCTCCAGGAGGTAGTCCCAGTGGGACTTTGGACGTGACGCTTCAACAAGCTTTGGGAGTCTACTGGCTGACCACTGGCCCTCCTTCCGAAGCTCAGAGATGCGCTGATGCACTTGACTCTCCTGGGAAAATAGAAACAGCATGTGACCTCAGTGTAGAAAGCATGATTACTCAATTCAATTTAGTTGCTCAGATACAAGATGGCTAAATTCTAATGTACTGAAGATATTCAAGCCAAGTTTGTTTGCAGTAATCTGTTTGCAAAGAAAGGCCCTGATTGGCACCAGACAAAGAAGCAGGAGAGCATGTTATACAATCCAGAATTATGAATTTATCCTGAATAATCACATCCCTGGTTTTCACCTTGCCTTAGCATGGGTCTCCACATGCATCTTAATGCCTGCTCCATGTCTCATTTCCACCCTATTGAACTTCAGTCAGCGAGCCTTGTTTACTCCAATCTTATAAATTCATTGTGCACATTTGGTCCGACTGATAGCATTTCAAAAGATAATCAAGACATTTTACGTGCCTTAACACCTTTGCTTTGGTCTGTCCAGTTGTGATCCCAGTATTAATATTAATACCAGGTGTAAACAGGGCCTTATTGTGCTTATTGAACTTACCAGTTTGGCCTGCTCAACATGCTTGTCTTGGGAACCCTCCTGAGAGGTCTGCATGGTTGCACTCTGACCAAAGCCACCCACTTTGACAGTGGATATGCCATTGGTTCCACTCAGTTTGGACTGGGTGCTTGGGTTGATGTTAGCACCATGAGGGCGAAGTGGATTGGCAGTGTGGGGGGTTGCGACAGGATTGGTAGAAGGAAGGGGAGCAGGAGAAATGGATGTCATGGATATTGGGTTGGTCATTATCCTCTGAACTGGCTGGTTTGACTCTGTACCAGGGCGAGCAAGTGTGACCGTCTATAGAGAAGAGAGAAAAGTACATGTTTAAAGGTCACCTGCAGTCTTATGATCCAGTAAAAAAAAAACATACTTGAAAACTGTATTTATACTTTTTTAAGTAGACTGACCGCCTGTCCTGACTGAAGAACAGCCTGGGATTGTTGCTGCTGGGGCTGCAGCTGGATATGAAGACCTGGCTGCATTTGTTGTTGCAGTTGGGCCTGTAGCTGTGTGTGGGGGTTTACTGTGGTCAGGACAGGCCCACCTGCCTGCACCTTCACCTGTGCCAGTTGACCACCAGCCTGAGCTGTGTTTTCCAGTAACTGAGCCTGCTGGGAGAGTGTCATTGACAGGCCTGCCATAGGGAGAGTACCTTGGGGCAACCTGCCAGGTAGCTGGGGAGGAGGTGTGTGTAGACTGGCTGCATTCTGCACTGGAGGTCCTTTGGATGGGTCATATTGTTGCTGGTTCTGCTTCTGTCCTGCAATCTGGATTGCTTGAGGAGTAGGCGGCATCCCGCCTGTACACATAGTAACCAAATTATAGGACAAACAAAGGGGTGGTATAGAGAGTAACACACAGAATGATATTAAGATCAATCTTGTCGTCCCAAGTCAAGTGTTTTTCAATGTCCATTTGTAATTTTAATAAGATAAAAATGTTTTGAAAGTGCTTGATAGTACTCCTTATATCTTATAGAGAGACGACTTTCAAGAATTATATATTTACGCTTCTAAGTAGATAATTAAAAAGATGTTTTAAACTTTAAACGATGGTTTAAGTTTCAGCTATTAGATCTCATTGGGTCCTTTTGCCTAAATGAACAAGATGTACTGTATGATTTGACAGTTGTTTACTACTTCCTGATGATCAGAGCAGAAACTAATGAGTCATACAGCAAAATGGTCACAGAAGAAATGAAATCAATGTGAAAATCTACATGTCTCTCAAATAAAATACTACTTTGATTAATGCAAAACCAAAACATTGTATTTCAAATGTTGAGAGAATGTGGTTAAAAACATCAAAGAAATTATACATGCAATAACAGAGGTTTTTAGAGAAGAATATAGAAATCTTACAAAGGAAAATTGTATTAAAAGAACAGCGGAAACAAAGAGACAGGGAAAATTAAGGGAAAATACATATAGAGCAGACACTCACAAAAACACCATGTTTGGCATGCATGAAGCAATGTCACTCTAGCGGTAAACCAAGGCATCTAGATGCCTCATGTAGCGACAAAGCACAGAGGTGAGCAAAAGGACACACATGGGGTCTTGCAGACAGCAGGCCCTGAGCAGAGCTGTGCACACTAAAGCAGCACCTGCCTTACCTCCCTGCACGTCACACCACCTTGCCTAGAAGCCATCAGCACCTGGCCCTGACTCACCCACACCATCGCAAAAACCTGTGCCGTGAACGCAACTCCTCCACATGATCCCCCTCCTACTTAGACTGAGGGAAAGAGGCCAAGTCAGAACAAAATGCCATGAAATAACATGGAAGGAAATCAACTAAACGAGAACATGACACAAAGAAAAGACACTCTTGAAGATGTAAACGTATGAATTTAAGATTGATGATGTTGAATCCTTGTTGATTATACAAGGAGAGACACGCGGAGAGAGGGGAAGACTTGAGAAGGAATGCAATGGGAAACCAAAAGGAAGCATGGCACGTGGATTCATAAAATGGGAAAACAAGCAAACACCCATTGGAGAGTGAATCTATTCACACAGGGCTCCCACTTTCTGTGATCCACCGCCACATTAGATGAAAATCCATCTGAACGGACAAGAAGGTCGGTCCAAACAAAGATGACGAACGGGAACAAACTTCAGAAAAGAAGAGATGGATAACGACTGGTGAACGATAGATATAACAAAAAAGGGAAATCATAAGACATGGCATCTTCCCATTGAGTGGCTACTCTTCTTCAGACTTGGATTGCCTTCTTCCCCATTAATCATGACAGAGTGAAAGAGCTGCTGCTGGTACAGCTAAGCCTGAACTTCCTGTGGACTGCTGAGAACTCCAGCACACGGATGAAGAGCTGTTTGCTGATGCTGCTTGAAGTTTGTTTGTAGAAGATGAAGTTGTGATTCACTTTTTAAAATCTCCTTAGTTTGATGGAGGGGATAAGTCCAGCAGCATCGAACAGAACAAAGAGCGGCCTGGTAGTAGCACTCCTACCTTGCGCTGTTGGCATAAGCTGCTGGAGTGGAACGCCAGGTGATCCTAAAGGACCTACACCAGGATGCTGGAAAATCAGCCCATGGCGACCAACGTCAATCCGGGACCTCTTAGCCTGATCTGGGATTTAAAACACACAATACCCTCATAACGCAAAACAAAAGCACTCTGCACAGAGCAATGACCTTCTGCAGACCTTACAGGTCACCTCTCCTTCCTCCGGTAAAGACTTCAACATAGAGCTCTAGTAGAGGATGCCAAATATCTAAAAGCAGAAGCAATTAGAGGGAAAAAAGAAAACCAACAGAAAACAAAGCAAACGGGGAGGAAACAAAGCAACATAAGAGAGGCAGCAGTTTACGATCCTTGCCCTACCTGCTTGCACCATAGCCTGCTGCCTCTTAAAGGCATCCATGTCACCAGGGTTTGTAATGGTGCCAGCAACCCCTTGGTGTACCTGCAAAAACAACATCTCAAAGAATTAATGAAGGATTTTCTTTAACAAAAGATTTTTTAAATACAATTAAGGAAATAAACTAATGAAAATGTTATCAAAATGATTGCTTAAAACAGTGTTGCGACTATCACCTGGAACTGCTGCTGGACAGAAAAAGCTGCAGAAACATTGGGAGGAAGCTGTGTTGCTATGGCAACTGGTGTTACTGCTTGGCCATCCTTTCCAGTGACAACCTTTACCTGAAAAACATGCAGATTTTAAATAAGAAATAAATCAATATTCAGTTTTTAAATAGTAAAAATCCAACTTGGTTTCACAAAGTGAGCTAGACAATGTATTACCTCATCATTAATGACTTCAGACTGTTCTTCTTCTTCCTCTTCATCTTCCAGGTCCAAGTCATTCTGTCTCAGATAAGTATACAAGGGGACACAGGGCTTCTTCTTAAAAGCTAGGTAGTCCATCATGTTACCTTGGAGGTGCTGCAGAAAGAAGAGCTCAATCAAGTATTCTTTGAACACTTCTTTCAGGCTCTCCATCTTCTTGTTGTGGTGCTCCAAGCACTGTTTCCTAAGCTGGGCAATCTCTGGAGACGAAGGAGCAATTTCTTCTAACTTCTTGGGAACCTGCTTCTTCACAGTGCCCACAGTCATGCTAGTGAGTCCAAGGGGATTGTTGGTCATCCCTTGGTTTGGACTAGTGAGGGATGGGCTAGAAGGTGGAATGGAGGTGGGTATACTAAATGATGCTGTAGCTGTGGTTCCTACTCCAGCAACAACACCCTGTGACGTCTTCTCAAATATCATGGGGCGTGCCAGCTGTCCTTGAATGATACTGCTGATCTGTGGAGGTAGGTTGGATGTGGTGATGTGACCAGGACTGCTCAGAGTGGGGACAGCATTACCAGTGGCCACAGGACTTTGAGGTCCATGATGGTGGATGGTGCCTCCAGTCTGTGAGTGAGGCTGAGACAGCCTGCGTTCCCTAACAGAGCCTGGTGCTCCTGGAGAAGCCAGCTGTACCTGGCCAGGTGTTGCCTGTGCAATCTGAGCCAGTCCCGTCCCCTCCTGGTAAACAAAGTGGCCGCTTCCTGAAGGACTTCCTAAACTGATTTGCCGCACCAACATACCGGCTTCAACAAATCGTGTTGGACTCTGTCCACACAGTGCTGATGTAGGTGCTCCTGGCCTTGTCAAACCTTGCACCGGGACTGGGCTGTGCTGCGTGGGACTCTGGGGCTGCATGGGCTGGGGCACAGGTGAGGTAACCTGAATGTAGGAGGATGGAGCATGCTCAAACCTCCACTGAGGTGTAGTATGCTGAAAGCCAGGAGAGGCTGGGTTCTGGATGGGCAGTGGGGTTAGGGTGATCTGCTGGTTACCGGTCACCATCTGTCCCATATTTTGTAATGTGATGTTCATGTTCTGTCCGGTGACTGGGCTGCGACTCATGATTATTTGATAATTGGGTGACTGAGGGGCAGAAGGACTGGCAGCAGAGGAGAATGTGGTCACAGGCGATTGAGGATGGTTAATTGTAGCTTGCTGCTGTGTGACTGCCATGGTGGGCTGCTGCTGTGTCTCCTCTGCTTCAGACCCACTGACAGATTTTGATCTCTGGAGCTGTCGTTGCATATTCTGCGATCCACTTCCATGGTGCATTGCGTGACAATGTTTCTATGCCTAAACACAACAATCTGTGGAAAGAGCAAAGCATATCAAAACAATTAGTGATTTTTGATGACTAAACATGATAGTAGCAATGCAAGGGTTATTATTATGGTAGTTACAAAAAGTTATACACCAAAATTCATCTGATTAGGCATAAGTATGTAGGCAATATTTATATTTTCAGAGATCATACTATTTTATATCTTTAATATTCCTGTGTTGATTAGGTCGTACTTGAAGCCTGTAGTGTTGTGAGTTGAAGAGCACGAGATATTCATGCCTATTTATACATTCAAAATAAATTCTCAAATGGCTAACAATTTAAGTCATCCCAAAATATCTATTGCTGTACATAAAATGATTTGCTCTGTCTCATAAAGTCTTCATCATCATCATCAACCTTTATTTAAGTTGTCGGAGAGATCACTGAGGGCGACCCTCATTTACAATGATGCCGAGAAAACATACATAAATGATAAACAACGAGAAATGAGATAAAGCCACTGCAGAAAATTAAATCAATAAAAGAGCAATAAGAACAATAAAATACAGACACTAAAATAATTAAAAAGCTTGAAATGACTACAGTGATAAGTCAGCAATTAAAATCAAATAAAACAGTTACAGTCCAGTTGTTGGGCAGTTAAAAATAATATTTCTAAAGTGTCCATAAGGGATAAAAGTGCTCAAGTTCAGGTCGTGTTGTAAAATTCTCCAGGAGTTTGCAGCACTAACACTAAAAGCAGTTTTCCCAGGTCAGTCCTGGAGAACCAGCCTCTCTCTCACCAGGGTTCACATGAAACAATGAGGTGATATATGATGGATCTTGAGTCTAGTTCTGGTTTATATAACGTATTTAAATAAATCAAACCAGGGGTATGTACTAGAAATAAAGAGGGCAGATCAGAAGTGACAGCTGGCACATTATATTAAAGATATGATAATGAAGAGATTTCATTTTATTGACAATAAATGGTTTCGTTGAGCCAGAATAAACATCTTGCATAATTATAAGATGTTTTAGCAGTCCATCTTTAACACTCATCATTACATCCGTGCACATTTAAGATGAACAATGTTACAGAATATGTTTTATAATCTCTCATCCTGGTTCAGTGATCGATACAGCTCATTTATCGATAGTCTATCGGTTTCTATATTTAACAACATAGAGAGATAAAAGATGTTTAGGGAGAACTCGTGTTAGTTCACACGGTGTTGATGTTATATTTGTGGTTCATATAACTAATTTAAATCATTGTTTTCAGGATGTAAATGTTCATTGTTTGTAGCTCCCACTGGGGCGTAACGTCGGCTAACGCTAGCTAACGAAAAGCAATTCAAGAGAATATAAGACAAAGCCTTAGAGCTGCGGTGACATACAATACAAACACGTAAATACGATAGTATTGTGTTACTGCTGGCATGCTGTTACATGTGTCGTTACGTTTAATAAAATCAATCTTAACACAGAACGCGTGCTACTCAATGCTAATTATGTTAGCTTGTTATTGCTAGCAGGCCGGCTGCTAATGAATAAACACATTTTATCCCCTCAATTGGGTTACTTACAAGGAATGGGGCTTCTGTGGTAGCTTCATAAATCCTAAGTCATAGTTACAATAAGTCAAATAGGGTAACAAAAATTATTCCGCGAAAAAATAAAATATCGATATTGCTAACGGCTATTCAATGTTTTGGAGCTAATTTCATTCAGCAACATGGCGACCGCGGCGACCTTTAGCGTGACCCGGATGTAGAACAATCTCCAGGAAGCCGTGAGCCCGGAGTGCGGTGTGGTGTTTAATATTTACTGTCTTGTTCTAACCTCATTATTTACAGTCTATGGTTTTGGTTTTAACAAACAGCCTCTCAGCATTAACAATCGTCCCATTTCATACATTCATTTTATTTGTTTTTGAACACACTAAAACGTATTGTTTAAGTTATAATTCAATGTGTGTGTGTATATATATGTATATAAATAAATAAAAGACAAACTGATTAACAATGCAATCTTTCACAAAAAATATACAGTATTTTTCTACAATAAATATTTATTTTTTATCAAACAGTGTGTAACAATTAAATTTTGCAAATCTCAACGGCATTCACAAAGTCAAAGTAGAAAAGAGCAAATTCCAATCCTAACAAACTTTTGTTTAACCAAAAAATGTACACAAAAATTAAATGTGTAATTGTATTTAACAAATGGACTATCAGGCATAAATTATGTGCAAATTCATTTATAAACTATCTAACAAAAAATACAAGATCTTAACAAAGATCTTTTCCAACAGCTACAATATAAAAAACCAAATTTGCGATCATACACCAAAACATCAGATAACATGAGCTCTTGCAGTTGATGTACCTCCAGACTGGAAACATTTCAAATGACAGAGGACATCAATGAATCAGTTTTAAAAAAACAAGATCTCAATCAAATGTCAAATGTACTTATTAAAGGCTATGATGTAAGACAATCTATCTCATACTTACACCACCTTTACTTTCACCCTGTGCTGTGATTAAAAACTAATTGTAGAAGAAAAGCAGGCACATTTTTCCACTACTTCTGCTCATTTGTAATATTTGGTCATCTTATCCAAAACAATCTGGCTCTCGATGGCTGGTGAGCTTTTTTACTCTACACATAACACATATGCATCACAACTGAACAACCTTTGTTTCAAGTAAAACCCATTAAATGTCAGTTATATTTAATCTGCTTATTCTATGTGCAAACACAAAACACACTAACATACAGTCTTTAACAAAACACATACTGAGAACTAATTACCTGATCAAAGTGTCCAAACAATCATAGCACAATCTTCCAGTCTTTTCTGTGCATTTATGTAAATATTACAGACTGGCTGGGGGGATCAGAGCAGATCCTCTACTGGTCATTTCCCTTAAGACGGATCAAAGTGCTTTGTGTATTGACAGACTAGAAGAGTCCATCAGCATTGAAAAGATGAGGAAAAATAATACAGTTGCTTTGGACGCTTTCCTGGGGGTTCATGGATATTGTTAAGACTGCAGAGCAGAAAGGCGTCGCTCAATACACTGTTTACCTGAGAACAACAGAGAGATTGAAAGTGTAAGATTAGAACAACATCTTGTGAAGACTAAGGCAAGATTCATGTAAGGAAATCCATTTCTGTTTGGTAACTTAGTTTTTACTGCCACTTACATTTATCAACGCTGTCAATGTCTTTTTGCTCAGTGATGATTCGAGACAGACCCTCCATTAGCAAGAGGGCTTTGTGGTAGCGCTGCACTGATGCTGTGCCATAGTGGAACATCTCATCTAAAGCAGCAGACTGTACCTGAATACATCAAGAACACAGCACAGATGCATTAATATAATGATGCCCAGTGGGTAGAATGTAATTCGGAGTGAATATCAGTGTGACGTGGTGTGCTGTGCGCTCACCATGTGCATGGTGTGACTGTAGATGAGTTTCTCTGCTGTGAGTCCATTGAAGCGCTCCATCAGTTTCTGTTTGTCGAGCAAGAAGGTCTGCAGCCGATGATTGAGTGAGCGACAGTATGTCACACAGTTCTTGTACAATTCGTTCAGCTTCCTGATCACTGCACACCAAAAGTAAAGTATTTAAAAGAAATGTAATCAGAGCCTTGTTATCAAGCTTCAATATGGAATCACTCTCACTTAAAGTAGAACAGAAGAAAACCCTGAAAGGGTCAAGCTGTTCTCTGTAAATTATCATTAATATTTTTTAAGACCAAAAAGAAAAAAGTCTTTATCCGTCGTAAAACAAACTACAAGTATAACTAGGTAGTTGTAGATTCTTGATATACAAAACCAGAGTTTACAAGTCTCACCTTGTTTGACTGTAGCAGAGGGAACGAGTCGGCCTTGTTTGATATTGTCTTTAGCTGTGTGCAGTGCCGATGACAGAAACTCCTCAGCCTTCATGTACAACACTAACTCTTCTGCATAGCTGGAATAGGCACATAAAAACAGAAAACAGTCAGTCCCATTATAATTAGTGAAGAAAGGGACAAGCTGAGAAAATACAAATAGCTTCATGCCTCTTACCTCCATTCTTTACTCAGAAGGCTGATCTGATCAGTCACTAAGCTCTGCTCTAGAAAGGAAACATCAGGACTGCTTATGGTTTCAAGACTCAGGTCCTTAGAAGAAGCCAACTCCATGACACAATGGACAAAAGCCAAGATGAAACGCAGTTCACTCAGGACATCTGTATGAGCCTGCTGTGAAAAGATGAAATCTGAAGTCTGAATTTCTCTTTTTTTTTGGTCATTTTCATTCTGTCTGTAATTTGAATTCACCTCAAGGCATCAATATAGTATTTGTCTGTACCTCCATCAGTGTGTCTTCAGGGAGCTCCGGAGGATGAAACACCAGACTGCTGTGAGGAGTAGCGTCCATAGATTCAGTCTCACTGTTTCTGCGGCTTCCTCCCTGAAGCAGACGACCGTTGAGAAGCCAGGCTGAGTTCATGTAGCTGGGAGAGCCTGCATTCACAAGAGTTAAACACAACGAACAAACAGAGAAGGGGAATACACGATTACACATACAGATTTGCAGTTACCAAGGGACTGTTATTTTTCGTTGGAGTAAATATTTTTTCATGAAAAAAATAAAAACAATAATTCAAATATGCGTCTCTGCTTCTGGTGCCTGTTCCTGATGGCTTCTGGTCTCTCCTGTATTTTTTATCTAGCTAATTAGATGTGTGTCTGTTATTTCTTATGTAACAATTGTGTCCATTTTCTGTGTAAAACTGTCTGTGAGTTCTTTTGTGTGCTGCCCTGTAGACTGTCCTGTGAGATGTCCTGTGAGATGTCCTGTAATTGTAAATTTCTTTTGTATTTTTTGTTATTACCTGCATTAGGACTACGGATGAAATTTGGCTTTTGTGCTAATTCCCGCATATTTACATAGATTTGTATTGCTTATAGGTTGATTGATTTTCACTGTCCTTATTGCACTTTACAGAATAAGCTAAAGACACAGCTCTTTCATAAATACCTACGACCTTAATGATGATAATGGTTTTGATATTATTGATGATGATAGTGATGACAATTATTTTGTTTGGTAACATGTTTTAAGATGGTTTCTATACTGATTAGAGCTCACAAGAACATCTGTTAATGTTGTGCTTTGACTGTGCAATGCCTGTCAGCATCTTTGTGTCCAATCGGACTCAAAGCTGATCGTTTGGAGTTACTGACATTGTTTCCTTGCTTGTATTGTACTAACTCTCTGATGTATGTTGCTTTGGATAAAAGCGTCTGCTAAGTGAATTGTAAAATTGCAATTAAATCCATTAAATGCATAAATAAATGAAATGCTTTATCTAGCATGTTAAAGCACTTTATAAATACTCGATTTTAAGATGCTATAATTGAGTTATTATCAACATAATAACAATCACAGTCTGATCTTTAACCTACCAAATGTTCCTATGGTTTATCTCAAACAGATTTGTTCCACCACAAAGGCTCTCAGTACTTGTAGTTAGCAGTGTTATTTTGTAAATGCACAATAACTTACTCTTCAAGATATATCTTAAAAACTATACACTGAAAAAAACAAACAAAACCAGAAATCCACAATCTACAGTGAAGTCAATATTGGGACAATGTTTGGAATACTAACCTGAAAACATCCTAGATACCACAGCATCAGGAGGAGTGTTTCCTTTGGAGGGAGAAGAACCCATTATGAAGATTGTAGGAGGGGGGCTGTCTGTGAACTGCAAGCCTCTGTGATAACCAGTAGGTGGAGCTGTTGCAGAAAATAAAAGGAGTTTATGTCAGATGGAAAGATGTCTTTGGAAAATATACTAAAATACCTTGAATTAGGTACTATGTTTCCAACATTTAATCACTGCCTCCCAAATGATATGTGTTTATTTCTCAAAATTGTTTTCATTGTAACATAAAGGTCTCCATTTACATTATGTTCTGGTGCAGTTCTAATACATGGCCGATTACTATAGAAGCCTTGCTACTTTTTGCTAACAAATATGTGCCGATCTTTCTAAATCGAGACTAGCAACATAGTCTCAAACACGTGAACAAAGACACACAGTATCTGTAAATAATTCTAATGCTTTGATGTATCCTACTTTATACTGGTACCTGTTATATCCATGCTTCTGTCACAGTTGAGGCTCTCGACACTTCCTTCTTCAATAAGATGAGCTCCAAAGGCGGCTTTAAGTAGCATGTCAGACAACCTGCCTGTGCTCAGCGATCTAGAAATCAGATACAGACACAGACACCATTGATAGCACTTAATCATTTAACAGATGTAAATCATTTACACTGTGTGACATGACTACATGCCAGATGGCAGGTTTACATATGAATGAAAAAGTCTTGATTAGGTGTTGATTACTTACATAAATTCCCATTTTATATAAAATTCATATCATAATTATTACATGTATTCTAATATATTAGGAGTATGCTGCTCATACCTTTTAAAAGGGCCCTTCTTATTGGCTGACTTCCTGCTGAAATTGGTCTGGGAAGCAGGAGATGGGTCGAGGGATTTCAGGTCTGGGACTGTCCTGGTTCGGTTTGGCATCCTTGATTTAACCTAGAAATAAAAAGATATTGAAGTTCTGCCCACATGTACAGGATTTGATTTCCCCTGCATTAGCAGAATGTATTTTTGCTATTCTTAATCATAAAGAACGAGCCACTTGTGATGAATTGGGCCAGGTAATGTGTGTGTCTGTAATAGAGATCTTTTTAAGGCTGACCTTTGGGCTGCTGGTGTCCTGCATGTCAGGGGAGCCAGTGAGCAGTCCAGTTCTTGTGCTGAAGGGGAGAGTCTGCTCTGAGGTCTTTGGGGTCATTCCCACTGAAGCACAAAGTATCATATCATCAAGATTATGCTGTAAGAAGTCAAAGTGATTTAGGCATGTTTGAAGTGAAGCAAGCTCAGACATGTTCTCTAGGTGTTGTCACAACACTTATGAGTCATCAAGAGGGAAAGTTGGTTTGGAGAAAGTAAAACTGCAACACTTCATCAAAAAACATCTCCAGGAATACAGCTAACATGACATACTTCAGATAGTGGAACTGAAGGAGTTTGACAGATAGCGTTGCTGTAGGTGACGTCTGTTTTGAAAAACTCATTGGACAGAAAAAAACAGCCATAAAAAAAATAAATGAAAAGAAGCCATATCAGATGCCTACCTAGTGGGGAAGACGGATGTGGTCGCGCGCCTCCAATTGCCAGTCTTGGGGAGTCGACGACAGATCCCACACCTGCAGACCTACAACCTCCATATTGGGGGGAGTTTTCCCCGCTGCTGCCGCCACAGCAGAGTGTAACCCTAAAGGACATGAGACACAGTCAGACACAGGCAGGAAAGAACAGGTGATAACTAAACAACACCAGTAGGAAGCAGGTGCTGAGAGGAGACAGCTGAGCAGCTGTACGTGCCTGGTGGAGCCGTGCAGGCCGGCAGGGTGCAAGTTCTGCTCCATACGCTGGTAGTTTTGGATCTGAGTCGGGACAGGAATGGGCAATGAAGGGCTGCAGTTTGGGCCGACTAATTTAACAGGTTTGCTGCATGGTTTAAGGAGGAAGCAAGAGAAAAAGAGACAACACAGGAATGTGCAGTTAGGAGGGATTTTAATGCAACTACAAAGAGCAGTGGGTAGCATCATTTCACAGATTGTACTTTAACGATTAAACATGCAACACTCAAGTTAATAATTTATCACAGATATATCTACAAGGAACCAAAATCTGAGCCTGACTCTTACCTCGGTTTCGGGGGAGAGTGTAGCTGGGGAGAGGCTGGTGGTGTCTTTCCTGCAAATCCAGGGCTTCTTTCAACCAGTCGTGAACTCCTAAAAATAGTATACGTTAGCTCTATCTGTCCAGCAAATAGAGCGTTCTAATTTTACTCAACACTTTATAATAAGAACTCAAGTAATAAGTCTGTTTAGAAAATAGTTGTGGAAAATCACGTTTATTATAGTAGTTACTTACCCACTGTAAATCAGGCAACTCTCAATAGGTGACCCGACTTCAACATCACATGTGTCCTCATCTACACAGCAGTGAAATAGAAATAGTCAGACACCGAGTACTGCTGTGAAGAAAAACCAGCATAATAAAAAAGATAAGCATATATAAAGGCTGAGGCTTAAAAGTCTTACTTGGAAACTGTGCAGGCACCATGACATAGTCCTCTGTGGAAGAAGAGGTGTTCCTGCTGTGCTGATTGGCTATTTCTTTTATCATGAGGACAGGGGAGTCCTGTGGAGGGAAATACTGCGCTTTGGGCTGCAGTCGGTGCATCTCTCCATCGGAATGCTAAAAGAGTGTAAAATAAAACACTGCTTAATCAAACATAGAATCAATCACAGCAGGGAAAAAGATGTGCTCTGGGTGTGCATTTCATATATTTTACAGAGGGATTTTGGAGTTTTAAATCCACAAAAGAAAGTGTCACGCACTTGAGGGGAGGCCAGATGTGATGTGGAGGAGCTGCTGGAGGAGCTGACTGAGCCTGAACTGGGGTAGGGGAGCGTGGGAGCAGGAGAGCCTGTCCAAAAAAACACAAACGCTTTAGTCTTGCACCATTACTAATTAAAAGACATCCAAAGACAACATATAGTCCGTACATTTCTTTGTGGTTGAGCTTGTCTCCAAGAAAGGATGGTGGAAGAACTCATCTGCAAATGCAAAAAGAAGTTGATGTCAGAGTCTTTTAAAAATGTACTAATTAGAAGAGCTTCTGACTATTAAAAGAGTGGAGGTTTACCGAAGCTGATCCGTTCTTTGTGGTTTCTCTGCAGCAGCCCCAACAGAAGGTGTCTGAGTTTACGAGAAGTCTCCTTTGGGATGCTGGGAAGATTAAAGTTTCCAATTTAAAATAATAACAAGGTAGAACACTGCTCAAATAAATCATGTGAGACAGAGATGGGTCATCGATAATAATCTTCTATGAGGGAGACTATGCTGGATCATTCCAAGAATATAAGAAAGAAAGATCAATCCAGGACAAACTGGAAAACATTTGGTGTGTTAATCCTTACTCGCAGCTTTAAACAGTGTGGCATAAGTGCATATAGCATTGTTGCCTGTGTGCATTCTGTTGAGGTGTTAAAATAAATATTGAGGTCACTTACATAAACTCAGAGTGAGCTGTTAAATATGTGGATTTTTAATCTAATTTACAGCTTCAGTGCAAAACCGCAGGGCATCATGACTACCAGAGCCTATACAGGTTGTGTGTGTGTGTGTGTGTGTGTGTGTGTGTGTGTGTGTGTGTGTGTGTGTGTGTGTGTGTGTGTGTGTGTGTGTGTGTGTGTGTGTTTACGTCTGAGTGGAGCTATTTGGGTCATGTGGAAAATGATAGCAGTGCAGACTGCTAGCTGGCAGTGCAGAGCAGGTTATATATAGAGTGACAAGAAAACAACAAACCATGCCTGCTCATATAAAAACAGGGGCCTGTGTTATAACCTGGCTTTATCACTGCCAAAGATAAGCATGACCACGAGCGAACACACAGGCTGGCTACAGCAGGAAAACGACCCACAAGCCCTTTTGAATGCTTGTTTGGTTCAAGTTCTGAATGTGACAGATCCAGTGTTTAAATCACTCTCATTAGCAAAACAAAGCTACGTGCTGAGTGATATCAGGGCAGAGACATTCGGGTTTGACGTTTCACAGGGACAACACCTCATGGTTAGATTGATCAAACCTGGCACACTGGATTTAGCGTAAATACCAACCATGTTAAAGGGACTGATTTCAGAAAATTCAGGTCAGGTGTCTGTGTGTTCTTCCACATTAGGATCATTTCTCGTCGTCATTGCGGTCATTCAAAGAGTTGGGTAAACCCTCCGTGTGCATACGGAACATCTTGCACAAACTTAAGAGCGTTTACAGTGTAAATGAACCTACAGTAAATAATCAGAAGACAGAATCCAGAGAAGACAGATCTATAAGTAAAGCCTGTTTACACTTCCTTCTTTCATCCGTCTGTGTGTAACGTGTGTGCTGAGTGTATTTACTGTACATGTGTGTTTGCGTGGGTCCGTTCAGGTTTGTACTAACCTGGGTAAGAGGGTCATGTTGCTTTCATAAAAAAAGCGAAGCTCCTGCGGTGTGCTGGCCTGTACAAACACACACAGAAAAAAGGATTAGTGTACCAGTCGGACACACAGTAACTATATTTATCAATAAATCTCCTGATTCTTTTCATGGCTTATCAATTAATCATCTTTTCTATAGAATTGTACAAAAAAAATTGGAACATGCTTAGCTCATCTTCTGAAAGCTAAAAGTGATGTAAAGTTTATTCTGAGGGGGGGAAAAAAAACCAATACTCGTTCACTATCATGAATAACAGAGAACTTCAAACAAGCCAATCTTTAAGATTTTTGCTTGAAAACTGATGAAACAATTAACCATCCAGTCATAAAGAAAGTTGGCAATTAGTTTTCTTCGACGGACTACATGTATATATATATATATAGTAGTTATTGCACAGTGCATACAATCCAAAGATGAATAACAGGTGGGAGTCTAATGATCACATTGAATGCCACGTGGAGGGCTTGGAGACTCCAGGTGAGCCAGCTATGCAAACATCATCAGCATCATCATCAGCCAACCTCATGCTGACCCTTGGACTCTTTTCACTCACTGCCCTGTCAAGGTAAAAATAGAAGCCCATCTTCCCTCTCATCACAGGGAAAATGCTTTCAAGGAAACTCTAATGTGAATAACCTCAGTGGGGCCAAAAGGTTTGAGACACGACATGTTTTTTCTTCTTTCACTGCTCATACAGTGGAGAATAAAATGGGTTTCAGAAATAAAAAAGGGCTAAACTAGGAGACTAAATCATTAGCATGTGTTATTCGGAAATCACACCTGAGTCCTTCTGAAAATAACTGCTCAGGTTTCATCTGAGCAGCCACGTGAACAGTAGAAAGTAATACCCAGGGTTGTGAAACAATATTTACCGTGGGCTCAGAGAAATGGCTGACAGCCACTTCCGCATGCCCACCTCAGTCTGTAAACAAGGCTCTTTACAAACAAGTAGTAGACAAACTGTTCCAGCATTTTCCAGCAACACTGGAAACTAGGCTAAGTGTCACCCACCAGGCAGGTGGTACTTAAAAGAGGTTTAGTGTATCATGTTGTTTCTCTGAGTTGTGAAAGGGAACCATCATGTGCAATTTCTCAAGGTCGTGGTTATGTAAGGGGCCTTAGTGAGCATTTGATGGTTGAATAGTTAAATCCACTTTCCTTAACACCTAAAATGAGATTATACTCACATGAAATGGAGCCTTCCCAGTCAGACACTGGTACACAATAGTACCGATGCTCCACAAATCTGCCTTGGCATCGTAGGTCTTGGACATGATGACCTCAGGAGCCTGTGACCAGACAAACACAGCTTGACACAATGGCACAATGACATGTTGGCACAAGAGACTACAGCACAAGATATTAATGCTCACCATGTACATGGGAGAGCCGCACAGTGTGGCTGCCATAGTGTCTATCTGGAGATGACGTGCAAAACCAAAATCAGCTGCAGGGTGAGAAACTAATGGTGAGCAACATACAGAAGAGTACATGTACTGCTAGAAACAAAACCTGTCATACCTCAACATATTGAAATGTATACAAGTAGTACCTAATTTGATGCAGGTATTTGTGGGACTGGACCTGCGCCCCTCTGGTTGGCAGAGCAGGATATTCTGGGGTTTGAGGTCTCGGTGGAGGATGCCTTTGCTCTGCAGGACCTTCATGGCCTGAGCAATCTGCTGCAGGAAGACTCGGATGGTGTCCTCGCTTAGAGTGCCCTTAGCTGGGGATCAGAGGGATAAAAGACGATCGAGAAAGACGTTCGCATGTTAGGGTTTAGATTCAAAAGGTTATTACTGTATAGATGTTATTAAAGAAGAATCAACCAGGTAACTAACAATCCAATAATTAATATTAACAAATCCTTAGTTACAAATCTCATGCACTTTGTTTGTTTTTACACTATCATCCAAAACTTAAATATGATGTAAGAAGATCATGCATGACTGTAATCACACCAGCGTCACGGCTGTCAGGATTCATGGAAGAGAATTTTGTTTACGATGTTGCCTCATTTGGGAATTATAGTCAAAGCTGTCTGACTTGCTAGCACCCCTCACCCTCCCAGTACTCCCAGTATTTATAGCTGCAGTGTTTTTCCACCGGAGGACAGGGGATAAGTGAGTGACAGATGGGTGAGGTCATGTGGGTGCTCCATGAACCTTGCCAAGTGTGACTGTGTGTTGTGCTGCAAGAAGCTGGATGAGCCTCCTTGGCAGAGACACAGAGCGGGCTAGAGATGCTGCTGGCACGCTGGCAGAATTACACCAGCATTTAAATAGACACATTAACAGTGATTGGGTAAATTTAACCTGAAAATAATCAGCTCCATGGGCTCAGATGCGTCATCATCTTTTGAAACAGGAATTGGAACTTGAGGAGTGGAAAATGTTGTCATGTGAAAAAGGTTTATTTATCACTATGAGAACTTAAAAGTGGAAAAAAAAATACACGAAAGCCAACAACATAACAAAGCAGCACCAAAGCTGGTTTCAACATCATTTGTAGGTAAAACATATTTTTGTATTTCTTTGGCTTTGATTTCATCTTAGTTAAGATTTTTGAAGTATTGGTTAGTATTTACCCTGTGACCTTTCAGACTTTTAAACCTGAAATTGCATTATGTACTGCTGTTTCCTCAAAATCCTATTACTCCTACAAAATACTAAAAAAGCTTAGCCAAGCCTCTTCTAAATGAAATAGCCCTGCCTGTAAGTAAGCAGCTCCAACATTTTACATTAAAGCAACAAGCTAAAAGTTTGATCTGGTGTAACAGTGAATATTAGAAAGAAAGAAAAAGTGTTACATTAAGTCTTCCAAGATGTAGCAAACTTACAGTGAAGATACTCTGCTAGGTCACCTCCATTGCAGTACTGAAAAAAAAGAGAGACAAGTTTAAAAGGAAACCACAACAACTCTGCATTGTGAGTAAATGGGATCTGTATTTGCACAACATACCTCCATGACAAGATACACACATCCCCCAATTTCCTGTATAAAAGAGCAGATAATATTCATTTTATTTGCAAAGGAATAGTAACAAACTTAAGCTGAGAATATGGTCAAAATTTGTCATGAATCACATATAGGTCATGTAGAAAAATAGAAATAACGCAGATTTATAACAGAAGTCCCTTGGTGTATTTTCAGATGTACCCTAAGTTACACAACAAATGTCACCAGCTCATTTCTAAAACTAAGTTGACTCTTTTTTGGCCCTTCACCAGAGCCTCTTCTAGAAATTTTGGACCTCCTGACGACAGTAGACTCAGGGAACCTGAAACTTTATCCAGTACTGACACCTGTCCAGCTCCTCGCCCACTGGATCATCCTGGACCCCTCCCCTATTTAACACTATTGATATCAAAGGAGTCACAAGAGGTGACATGAGGTGGGCTAAAAGAATGGGAAATTTGAGGTGTCACTCAGTCCCAGCTGACTTACATGTAGTGAAGCAAGTTCCCTCTTGTTTGTATTTTACACAATCAGGTGAAGCCAGCAGGGTTTGTCAGTAAAAGAAAACGGGTACAACTGAATTAATAACACCCTATAGCTGTTAGTGTTACTATTACAGATCATTGAAAGCATGGTTTGTGCTGATGCAAGTTGGAATTAACACATTGCAGTATATGAAGGCTTCACCAGCCTGAGTCAGAGTGTATGATCTGAGTTCATTAGCCCTGCAAGCTGGTGTGTGTCTGAGTGAGACTCTGTTTAGGATCTGTGTTTATTAAGTCATTATTAAACCTGCTGCTCCCTGCCATCTGTTTGAAACACAGTGAGAGATCAGTTCACCCCCGTCTGGATGTCTGACAGGTGTTGGTAAGGTGAGAACAGGAAGGAACCCATACTATCACGCATACTGACATGCAAGCAAATGGTTAATGTCCTGTGCCATGTGTGACCTGTGAGAGGGTTTTATCTAGTTTAGTGCATGCAGTAAACACAGTGAAACATTTTCAGAAAATGATCTTTCACACTACACGTTTCACTGTTTTACTAAAGTGAGAGTGAAAGATCTCTACATAAAACCTAGAGCTTCCACAAAAACTACACCTCCTGGTCACTGGGTTCGCATGCTTCATAAAAAAACTACAATGTCCTTCAGCCAAATCTGTAGTCTATCACATGAGCCAATGGCGCTCAGTATTGCAGGAACATGTACACATTTGCAACATGTGTCAGCAAAGTCGACATCATTGTGTGTTAAATCTTTTGCGCTTACTGACAATGTGTCATTTGTATCAGACAAAATAAATATGGAAAAGGAGGTAATAATCTTTACCTGATAGTCAAGTAGTCTGACGATGTTTTCATGTTTTAGTTCCTGGAGAAGTTGGGGGAAAACACTAGTTTAAGGTACACAGAAAGTCTAACACGGGATGTATAACATTTAAAATAAAAAAAATGTCTTACCTTTAATATTTTGATTTCTTTACCCAGCAAACACTGTGACTTGGCCAAGTTTTTCTTGTTGATGCACTTCACAGCAACTTCCCAGTCACGTTTCTTGTTACAAAAAAAAAAAAGTATAGCCTATAAATACACAACAATGAGCAGGCAGATATAACAACACACCTATATAAAAAGTTACCTCTTTATGTCTTCCTTTGAACACAACTGCAAATGCACCGTGACCAATCAGGTCTTTCCTGTTGAACTCAAACTTCCCAACAGACTCCATGGATAATAAAAAATAAAACTCGTTAAAGTGTCCTGAGCAGGTTCAAGAGGTTTATTTTAAACAGATGTACAGTCCCACGAGACTTCCCTCGTGCCGGTAAATCCCATTTCATTGATTAAAAACACCGTCCTCGCATGTAAAATGCTCCATGGACGAAGATAATAACGATGACAACGTGACAAAGTTTGTCAACACAGAAACTTTAAACAGCGTGGGAATATCTGTATGTTAACAATGTATTAGCGACCAACAGCGCTCACTATACGGTAAAAAATAATCATGTAAACCTACTACGACCGGTAAAAGTTAAAAAAGTTCACGTTGGTCTTAGTCGCTGTTTATATTTAGACACTGAGCTAAGATATTATTGTCTTCGTCACCTTTCTACCCATACGCTGGTGATATTCATGTCTCACGGCGAGCATGCGCAAACAGTGTGGCAGCTGTTCGACGGTGGGGCATTCAGGGACACACTGTAAAATTGTAATTCAATGTCTTCATTTGTGCTACGATTATTCTAAACGCTATATCAAGATGATGGACCAATTTCTATAAGTAGCATTATGGTCGCTAGTGTTCTAATTTTAAGTGTCGCACCACACTTCAGTTTTTCTCTGAAATATTTTTTATAGTTCAAAGGTGTATATGACAACCACTTAAAGCTCAAGACATTTGAAGAAAAAATGACCAAATGCATACCAAACGAGTGGGATAAATTCCAGTTCTCCTACAACAATAATTAACATATTTATATACATTTCATGCTCCATATCCAAAGCTCCTGTCATCAGTGAGTCAAGACCAGTTGAATCCCCAAAAAATTGTGAAAATGCTCAGTTAAAATTCCTGATCTTATATGGAGCATGAAATGATAAATAGTTAATTATTAATTATGTACAAAAAGGTCACAGCTTAACCCTAAGAAATGTTTGTTATTCTCAGCTCCTATAGTAGCCGTTAAGGCCTATTGTTTTGTGTTAATACAACAATGTACATAGGCCTATGACAGAAGTCTTTGAAACCACTTTCATGCATTGGTATTAGTCAAAGCATTTTTTGTTTTACAAAAATTATATTAGTATAATCCAATTCACGATCACATACAAGTTGGACCAGCCTGCAATCGATATTAATTTGAACAAATTGGTTTAAAACATTTGAAAAAGGATGACACAGATTTCTTGTCATAAACGTTTTATAATAAAGATAACTTGAAGCAAAAACACAGTACCATAAGACAACAATCAGTAAAGGAGCATAGAAAAATGTATACAAAATTAAAACTGACATGAAAAGTGAGCACAGAGTGACATACAGTAAATTTAAATCCTGTTTTAAGGAACCGAATGTTGGTACAGTGTAAGATCAATAGCATTTTAAAATATGTCATTTCCCTCCATTCTCACAGTATGTTTAGAAAAAAAATCACCCTCATCACATCCTTCTATTGTTGATATTTCATTGTACAAAAATGTATGAAATGTAAAAGAAATAAGCAACAAAATAAAACTTCACAGAATTGTGTCTGGAACACAATGAATATTCACTTATCCTCAAAAAGCAACACAGCATACTGCAGCTTACAAAGAAGTGAGGTACTGCAAATATACCAGAAAACACAGTCACAGAATTTAAAATGAGAACATACTGATTGTTAAGCTGTGACACTCTAGAGAAGACATGATACGGATCTCAAAAATCACAAAATAAATAAATACATTATATCAGAATTACATAAGGTGAAATGCACTGTACTTTACTAATTATTGTTGTGGTGAAGTTGTGTTGTGCTGTCCTTAAAGTTGGATAAAAGCTGTAGGAATCATGTGAATGTTGAAAAAGTTCATTCAGGTAAAAAAGTAATTTTTCCTCTGTGATGATAATACTGTAAAGAGCTGGTGAATTGTTTGTAAGGCATACATCTAACACTATATTCAAGGAAAAACTCCCCTTGGTCTTTTCTATTCTAGTAATGCATTTTTACCCAACCGTGCTCTGAAAAGACTGCTTACCACCTCAAGTTTAATTTGTCATCTACAAGCAGATGTAATGACACAACTATTTTGTGAGACAAATTGCATCTCTAACATGATGCTTTGATCAGAGGTTACTCTTGGGAATTTTTGGGCGAGAAAACTTGTTAGCTTGCCAAGTGTTAGATGAAAAAAAATTGCTTCACAAATAATTTGTGCACGCTGAGTATGAAGCAACAGGTCAGCTACGCTTGGCACAAGTCCTGGAAACAAGGAAATACCTAGTTTAAATAACTGTTTTGGGTTTGTTTTGCCAGAAGATATAGCTTAGCAAGTTATTAGAAGGAGATAGCTTGGCTAGATCTGAAAAATGATCAGCCTTAAATTAACATGGCTAGTTATTCAAAAACAAGCAAATGACCATGAAACAGTAGCAGGCTAGCTGTTGCCTCGAATTCAAATCTTTGTGCTAAGCTAAGCTATAACCAAGTCATGGCAGCCACAGTAACCTAATGTTTGAAACACACTTAGCAATGGTTGTAATTGTTTTTTATCTAACTCTTTGCAAGACAGCAAATTACTCCTCTTCCCCCAAATCTTAAACTGTTCTGTTTAATATATTCTTGCCAGTTCGTAAATCAACAAAAATGTCAAAGGTGGATGGTGTATGCTATCCTCAAGGATCTCTAAGTAAGTCTGGTGACCTCCAAAGAAATCCCTAATCTTGATTTTGGGAACAGTGTGTTTTTTTCCAAGACAATACAAGGCACAGTCCTCAGAGTCTGTTTGTCTTAAAAGGTGAAGTGATTATTTAGCCACACACCTCCTTTGGTATCATGTTCACTCGAGCGGATGAGTGTCCAAATCTTTACATAACATAGTGGGAGAATATTCTGGCCAGTGTTTGTCAGTCTACACTAAAAGATTTCTCTCCTGTCACGGACAGAAAGCGAGTGCGATTCTGTTTTTCTACACGGCAGAGAGGTCGATTCTATTGGCTGAGTTGGTGCTTTTGTCCCATGTGTTCATCTTGGTTGGAGTCACACCCTCCTTGTTTCCATTCATCTAGAGGTGGAGAAAAAGTGTTGTGAGATCAGAGAGTTCGGCTCAGTTTTTGTTTCAGTAAATCTTTAACCACAGCACTCACAATGTCAGAGTTGAACGGTTTCACATTGATGTTTCGGATGGAGCTGCTGGTAAGAGACCACACCTTGGTCTTGTGTTTGAAAGCAGCTCTGACCTTCAGAAAAAAAGGAACAGACAACGATGAGAAATCTTTGGCAAAACATCTTAGCACTCAAAATATTGGATATCCATTTTGCATATAAAAATAAAAGTCTGTGAAGTGCATGCACAATTCAGCGTAGTACATACCTCAGAGTTGAGCAGACAGTGAAACAAGAAGACAAAGAACCCCTTAAGAAAAAAAAAAAAAAACAACAACAACAAAACTTTACTGGACATACTGTACCTCATAAATTCCATGTTTGGAAAAGAAAAGGTCGAGCAGTAAAGAACTTACTTGTAATGAGTTGAATACAGCAAAAATGTACAGGAATGGTAAAGAGTGTTTGTTGACAGCGAGAACGCCAAAGATCCAGGATATACCGAGTATAGGCAGGAGCACTGCCACTGCCTTTATAGTCAGCCTGGAAAAAGCAGGATAACAACATGTGGTATTAATCACCTTTGTTGGTAGGTAGGTAGGAAAGTAGGTAGGTCGGTCGGTAGGAAGTTTGGTACGTAGGTAGGTAGGTAAGTAGGTAGGTCGGTAGGTAGGTAGTTAGGAAGTTTGGTACGTAGGTAGGTAGGTAGGTAGGAAGTTTTGTAGGTAGTAGGTAGGGTAGGTAGGTAGGTAGGAAGGTAGGAAGGTAGAAAGTTTGGTACGTAGGTAGGTAGGTAGGTAGGTAGGTATGTAGGTAGGTAGGTAGTTTGGTAGGTAGGTAGGTAGGTAGGTAGGAAGTTTGGTACGTAGGTAGGTAGGTAGTTTGGTAGGTAGGTAGGTAGGTAGGTAGGAAGTTTGGTACGTAGGTAGGTAGGTAGGTAGGTAGGTAGGAAGTTTGGAACATAGGTAGGTAGGTAGTTTGGTATGGTAGGTAGGTAGGTAGTTAAGTAGGTAGGAAGTTTGGTACGTAGGTAGGTAGGTAGGTAGGTAGGAAGTTTGGTACGTAGGTAGGTAGGTAGGTAGGTAGGAAGTTTGGTACGTAGGTAGGTAGGTAGGATAGGTAGTAGTACTAGGTAGGTACGTTATTATCGTTGCATGTCCAATAATTACATTTTAGTTTGGCAGCAATCCACTCCATAGCAGCATAAAGTTGTTTATATGAACTAACACAAAAGGTTGAAACTACAATAACAACCTAAAGAAGTAACCTAATAAACTCACTTGACTGCATTGGCATCTCCGTGAACTTTGTAACTCTCTCCACTGATTCGAGATATAATCCTGGTCACAGATACCAGAATGCCAATATTCACCTGGATATCAGAGAAAGGGTAAATAGTTTTTTATAACAGTGTCACAGAAGATTTGACTTTTTGTCATTCCTCACAAATAGATATGAAGACAAGTCTGTAGATTAAATAATGCAACAAACTGGGAAATGTAAAAAATGACAAATGCTAATGGATCCTAATTCCTCACCACGATGACAAACAGAGCCGGTGCCACAAAGGCCCAGATGGCTCCGTTCTTCAGCGACAGCCAGCAGCTGAGAAAGCAAAGGAAGGGGCATAAGAGAGAGAAAAAATCACAGTGGGTTCCCTTCCAAGTGAAAAAGCTATAATGTAAATATGAAATGACGTGTGTTATTACAGTTAACCTAAAAGCTTTTGCTCGCTGGTTCCAATTTTATTCCACAGGTGATGTAACTCTCATGCAATGCCACCAAGATTTGATGGAACAAAATCAATTCCACATTATTTCTAAGATTTTTTTTCTTTCATGCCATACTTACTTGTCAACCTCGCCGTAGCTATCCAGAGCTGATGTCATGGACACCGCACATATTACCAATGGAGAGCCTGATAATGATGACAGAAAGAAACACACATGTTACACATTAACTGAGAATGTCATACAGTACCCATGACTAGATTTATGTGTAATGAGGACCTGAAGCAAAAAATGTGATGTGAGGCCCTGTTGAACCCCGTCTTTCTTTTTTGTATTGCACTGTTCATGAATCCTGTTGTGTTTGTGTCAAATTCAAGTGCTATCATGGCGGCTTCACCATGCATGCTGTATTGATAAGTTTATGTTTTTGACAGTTGATTCAACACATAAGTATATACAAAAGTGCACTAGGCCAAGCTGGCCAAGTGGGATAATAAATAAAGGAGTTAAAAAAAGGAATAAGCTAAAAAGCACTTGTCTTGACTCAGGGCCCGTATAAATGTCATCTCCTCAAACACAAGTTATTTTTGGATGTAAGATCATCCAAACAACCAAGAAAACGTTAAATACTTTGACTAAAGCAACAGACACCCAGTTCATGACGGCTCTAGGTCATATACTATAAGTAAACATACTATAATTGAGAGGGCCTTTATTTGAATCAGGAATATATTAGAATCAAGGGTTTATTTAACATACAAAAATATATAATTTGTACATAATTCCTATCTTAGTATGTGGCCTTGTTTTTAGCCGCTTATGTTTGTCCAGAAAAAATACTTTCAACTTAAAAGCTGTCTATAAAGAGATCATTCAATCTTCAATAAGATTTGCTTTGATCCATAAGGAAGCAGAGTAAGATTTTCTGGCACAACTTCACCAACTAGCAAGGTGCATGGAGAGTGAAAGGCTCAAAGAGGTCAATAAGCTCCAGAAACACTTGTACTATGAAGCTCAACTTCATTAACTTTATTAGACCGAGAAAAAACGTGTCAGTCTAATAAATATCTTCATACTACAAGTGTTGCTGGAGCTTTTTCACCTCTTTCATCGTAATGGGCAGTTTGTTGCACAACTCCTGCTGAGAATGAGAGTATAATAAATAATAAACAGGCAACCGCTGTTAGAAGCTTTCTTAGCATTTCCTTTTGTTATTTCGGCTACTTTGGAAATTCATCTTCCTTTTTGAAAGAAATAAAAAAGATACTGTTTTTACTTTTTTTTTTTTTAAAGCTTTTTTTTAGAGATTTTGGGGGCTTTTTTTCCCTCAATATTTGACAGGACAGGAAATCTGGGAAGGGAAAGCGGGGGATTACAAGCACTAAACAGTGTCCGGATTTTGAGTTGAGCCAGTGCCCCCTAAAAAAAATTTATTCACTGGACTGTAACATCTTTTAGACAATTGAATGTCTCTAATTATAATAGATATGGTTCATGGAGAATAGTCAAGGGGAAATAGATGTGTGTGTTTGTGCACACAAACTTCCCTGCATAAGTCAGTGCCCCAGTTGGGACCCTGTCCACATTATTCAAGCAGTCTGGATTTGGGCCTTTTCTTTTTGTTAGGGTGAAATCAATATAGCGTGGCTTTTATTTGAGGAAATTTGGTATTTCATCTTTTTAACCTCCATGTCATCATCTAGAATTACAGTATGTCTCTTAAAACAGCCTCCTGGCCTTTGGTGAACTTCTCCCAATGTGCCATGAGACTTTTCATACGTTCAAACTCAGTGCTGGTCAATTTATCTGCTTTTCTGCTAATTACTCATTTCCCTGAAAGTGACACTTTTGTTCTTTCTCTTTGCTGCCTTTTTTACGAGCATTAATTTGGCATGCTATACTACAAGGAAATAGAAGACCAAGTGTTCCGTAGCCTTTATCACATCTAATAGCAGCAGCCATTAATTACAAACCAGGTATTTACTTTTAACGTATAACAGCTATACCTCTGTCACACAAAGTCTCCAGCACATCATTTGCAGTTGGCCACACAAAATGAAAAATTACTCAAGCCAGAAGAAGGAAGTAATAAAAAAAGATCGTTTTTCCACTAATGGGTCCAACATGTGAAGGAGAGACTTTGCATTCCTTAGCAGCCGAAGACACTATACGTAAGTATGTCCCAGGTTTTTTTTCCTCTGCCCATCAAACTGTGGGTCACTGAGATCGGGGGGGGGGGGGGGGGGGGGCAATTGTTTTACCAGGAACTGACTCAAAGCAGATTTATCTAATAGGTTCAGAGTTCTTTACTTTTTAAAAAGCAATACTTTAGCAGAAAGGTCACCTAAGAAACGCAAACAAGTCACATCATATTTACGGTAATGGACTAGCGTGAGGTAGAACCAGGACATTGGGTGAAATCAGGAATGAGAAAATATGATGACATGAACAGAAAAAAAACAATTAAGCGAGAAAAAAATCTCATATAGGATATAACAGGTAGCAGTGTTATGTTCTAAAACAGATTTCCGATGTAAGTGTTGTTACTAAACCGTGATGGTCAGACTTACCCCAGCCTATGCCGTAGTAGTAGAAGTGTTTGCTGCCTTCAGAGCCGAACACCTTGACCACCATACTGTAGAGGTGGAGGCCCTCCACCAGCATCCAGGCGAAGGCACTCAGAAAGAAGAAGTGAAGCAGGCCGGCCATTATCTTACACGGCAGCTGGGAAACAACAAAATCAGACTTTAATACCGCACATTCTCTTTACTGTTATTACATGTATCCTTTAGTTTAAGTAAAAACTTCTAGCTGATCAGCATTTTAAGTTTCTTTGTTTTGCTATAATAGATTTTTCATCTTTCATTCCTGATTTTTATCATTGTGTGGTTGTTGTGTAACAGATTTTGTTTATTTTTATGTATATTTTCTAAAAGGTTTTGTTTTGGCCTTTAGGGTCCTACATCCAAAAATAACTTGTGTTAGGGTCTGAAAACGAAAACGGGGAGTACTATAGAACTCCTTACATTCAATTCAGTTCAATTCAATTACATGGCGCACACACTAACCACAAGGCTACCGTCAAACTATATATTTGTATTTTAACTTTTTTCCTAAATCACTTTGAAGTTACACAAACATTCCCTGAATATTTATTTTTATAATCTATTCACTGTCACAATAAAGAACAATGCCTTTTACTCCTTATCATAATCATAATCCTAATCATCTATTTTACCATACTTCATTATCCTCTCTTACTGTGATCATTATTGCAACCATTAAAGTCATTACTAACAACATGATCGGTACTGTGTACCCACCGTGCCAGGGTCGAAGCGGGCGCTGATGAGCAGTAAGATCTCAGCCACCAGGATGGCGAAGGACAGGTTGGCGTGGATGTGGTAGCGTTGGTTGCGGATTGTACTCACTGACCTGCAGAGCAACACAAATCACACCCTGTGGTTTTATCACTTAGTATATAAAACATAAAAGGTTGTGTGTTTGGATGAAGTTTACATTTAATATTTGGCACAGAGCAAAGACTTGACATGTAAATCTATTTGTAAAAAGTGTGAAATACTCACGACAAAACTGCAAAAGTGACCAGAGTAATGGCAAGACAGACAATGGATATAGAGCAGCCAACATAACCAATGGTTGACAGTGCCACCCTGTGGCCAGTAGTGAGCTGTGGACAGACACATCATCAACCATGGACAAAACAACATTGTGAAAGATTTGTATTTTGTGTACATCATGGGTGAGATGATTGTGTCACCAGTACATCTAAAACATCTATCCAGCTTGTTTCATTGAACCTGTTTCATCAGCCAGGTGATTTCACTCTACAGGAGTGCTGTAGAGTTTTTAACACAAAACTAATATAAACTATCTCTCTGAAAGGTCACTTTTCAAGTCTGGACACATCAAACCATGGGAGATATGGTTCATTTTATATATTATGCCTCATTTGAAACATTTTATAGTGATAAATGACATCATCTTTACATTTAACTTGTAGCACTCTAGTATTTCTTCTATGTATATTCTTTATTCTTTATTAATATTGTGTTCTCATCTAGCAGATCGTGATGGATATCCGTGCTCTGTAATTTGTCCTGCGATCACAAATTGATTGTTCAGCCATTAAGCGCAGTTAAGTGTAGTAAAGATATGTGTATCTGTTGGCACTTGTTCTGAGGAGACAAGACAAGAAGCAACAGTTTTTCTGATTGTCACCTGTATAGTAACAGGCAACTTGTTTCTTTTTTTGTGAGTAAGTTGACAGTAACAAGAGCGGTTTGATTTTACATCTACCGTGTACTGTTTCCTTTTGGATTGTTCGGAAGTCAGAAACTTTACATTTTTTGACCATACATTGCTTTTTTCCCTGACATGGAGTTCCTGTAATCAATCTAAAGCATGCTTTTTTATGATTTTGAGAGGATTGTCTTTATTTATATGCACATATCCTTAGTATGCGACCTAATTCATTGATGTTTTGGAGTTCAGGCTATTTTCAGCGTTCGGGTTAGATTCTTCATTAACTGTCTTGACATGTGCCTTGTCATTACGAGAGCAGAAGAGTCTCAGCCTTCCAGAAAAAAGGATATGCTGGATGCTCCCTTGCAGCTGAGCAATGAGGCTGACCACTAATTAGAGACTTGCTAAGGGAAAGTATAGCATCAAATAGACTTCTGCTCCTAAAATACAACACTGGCCCTTTTAACTGCAATATGAAGTCCTCTTTTCTCTTTCTATTCAAGCCATCAAAGATGCTGACCATACTCTGATTGTTCATATTCTTCGATAACAAAGATTTAGACTTTGGTGACAGTGAACACGGCGTAGGCATTTTAATTGCTCTACCTGTGGAAAATATAACTGTCAAACACTGAGCGGGAGAGAGGAGAAAAGGATGTCCAGATGTTTTCACAAAACAGTTTTTGGTCTCTTGAGGTGCTGTGGTCTTGGAATAAATGGACCACTGACCTTTGCAGCGACCCAAAAGAACCACATTTAACCATAGTTGTCCAAAGTACTTCTACGTAAACCACCAGTGAAACCGACATTGTGACTATGGGAAGGTCTGCATACGGTTGACCTAATGGGAACAATAAACTGTCCAAAGGCTGCAGGGAGGCGGGAGGGGGGAGGGGCTTTTGATTGATAAGTATGTGGTAAACCAAGGCTTCCTGTCCTATTGTGCTAAAAAAATAAAAACGTCTTAATATGTGACAAATACTCAGAGAAAGGAACAAACTTATTGAGTATGATCAGAGGAATAAACCTTCCTCTAAAAAAGTAGCTGAGTGGGAGCTGCTTCTGAGGGCGTTTTCACATTAGATAGCTACCGTGCAGCTCAGAGGACAAAACAGGCCCCATTCTGCCCGGATACAAGGGACAGGAGCCGTTTACAATTATGTCATATAGCGGCCCACTTCCTTGTTTGAGCACGGTTGTGTTCACATCTCCTGTAGACTGTACTTGGGTACAAATGAATCGTTCATGAAACCAGCTCTTCAATGGGACTTGGGCACAGTAGGTACCTGAGTACAGTACCCTAGTATGGTACGTTTGTGATCAAACTGATCAAATGAAACAGAGTTTGGGGTTAAGTGTACTTGGCCCGGGCCTGGCTCCCTAGCATGAAACTACCTTTAAAGTTTCCCTTCAACAGATAAAATAAAAAGCACTGTAGGGAAAATCATCATTTGGCTTTTTCACAGCACAAGTTCAGACTTTCATGACATAAAAAAAGCACACAAGTAAATGATAATTACAATCTGTTCTATTTCAGTACATGCCGTGACCCTTCGACAGAAAGCTAAAATTCAAATCACTAGGACCAAGGATGATAGAGATGAGGAGGTGAAGAGGTGTCACATACGGTCAATGATTTGAAGTAGTGTTTTTAGTGACGCATATTCACTATTCATTAACCTGTTAGTAGTCGCCACCAAGGAGAAACCTCTCTTTTTTTGGCTTTTAATGCTCCACAGTGTTCACCGGTGAGTTACTATTTTGGCCTGTGCTGATTATTTTCCCTGAATTAGCTTCCTGCTTGGATCCATTGTTAGAATAAAAATAATAAACAAGAGAGGCTTTGAAAGGGTATCCAAAAGGTCATACCTTTAAGGGCACCACTTGCATGAGAATGGCAAAGTTGGTGAGGTGGTTGCACAAACACACAGAGTACGACGCGTTTCCACCTGAACGTACACAACCTTGGTTGGACCACACGCCCTCATTTGAACTGAAAAGGATGAAAATCAGGTATTACATTCAAACAAAAGTATATGCAGAGGTTTCATAAAAGTACTATCAGGAAGAACAAATATAAAGAATATGAAATGTTTTCATAGGAACTGTTGGACGGGATCGCTCAGTGGGAGGTACACAGAGAAATGTCTTTGCTGAGTGTAGCAGAGCAATCTGACAGGGCAATCACATAATTCACATTTCTCTTAAGCTTCAGGGCAAAGGGGAGTAAGAAGAGAAGTCTTAGAATCCAGCTGAAACACACTCCCTTTTAAAATGAGTTATGCTTTCTAAACAGTGTTTTGGCCTCATTTATCAGCATATCACCATATTTTTTTTTTATGGAGGGCTGTTGCTCAAGACAGTCCAATATGAAACATCAACACATGTAGGGCTGGATGTTTCTGATTTAAAAGAGTAAAGGGAGATACACTTTCTCCAAATCATTGGTCATTTCTTATGATTTAAAGCCTGGAAGAATACATTCAAGTCAACAATGAAGATAAAAATCGTATTTGGCTTTGCGTCTTAAATCCCAAATACAAACCCACCTGTAGTCCAAGAAGGCACAGTAAAGGAAGACTTTATTGCTCTGGTTTAGTACTTGTTCCTGCTGTTCTTTATTCTGAAACAGAAAAGTCAAATCAAATCAAGATCTTAGGAAGCGATAATAAAGTATGTGGCATAGGAAAACATGTGCTTTTGGATTGTTCCTTCTCATTAAATGACCAGCTTTGTTTTGTTTGGAAAAAGTGCTTTGATCAAGAAATCGTGGAACATTTGAGACGCACATTAGCAGAATCTTTTCCTTAAGGATCTCTGATTTCTTTCCAATCATATGCTTAACAGAAACATCCATTCTAGATGTAATTAGGCCAAGACAAAACTCATATCAAGTAAAGAAAAAATAGCAAACCATCATATAAATGTTGCTTCACTGACAAAATTAAAAAGCCCTATCTGTGCTTGAATGTCAATTAATGGAGGATTGACATCATGCTTAAACACACATATTGACACTCAGCAAAGGTGATGATTAAACTGGGCTAGAGTCCCAACTGTCTTCAATAATCTTATTTGATTATAACTCACTTTTTCCGAGTCGTTCCTTAATAACAGATTTGGAGTCCTCAGAGACAGTGAGCTAATGGCTACAGTGCAAAAATGCAGTAATTGGGGCTTGCCCCTGGTTTCAGGTCAAACCACTTCCCTCCTCCTCCTTCTGTCATGTGAAGAAAACAACAATTTGCACACCTCTTCCCATTCCCTCTCCCGGCTGAATAAGTGTATGATTAGATGGAGTGTGTCTGCAGCGTTTCCATCTGGAAAAAGTGAGAGTGAAACTGACAGTCAGCCTGTCTGTTTCCTGGCCCATAGGCTCAGTGGTTCATATTACAAAGCATACGTTGACTTCATTGTGTAACCAAATCGCTGCTCTCATTCTGTCTGTTTTGCACATGCAGATCTTCAGTCATCATGTATGGGGAGCCTGGAGATGAATGCAGTGGATTGATATTCATGTGGCCTGAGAGTATTTCCAAGATCCATGGAAGGGCTGTAAATGCAGGCCGTCATCACAAGCCTTGAGAAGCTGCAAAGAACCAAGTGCATGAATTTACTGCTCCCCTGCGGCCTTTTAATAACTAACATGTCTTGTTGGGTGTAAATGAAAGCAGATGCAAGAGAGACAAACTGTAATTGTCAAACTGTAACAATTGTAACACTGTAACTCTTTACAATTTCTGTTTCTGTGCAATGAAGAAAGACTGACGATCCACATTACACACAAAATATAAACCCTGCCATGTAGGAAACAATCTATCATTATCAATCCCTTATATGTACCAGATACAAGCCAAACTATAGAGTGACTAACAGACCATCACATCTTTAGGGAGCGCTGTTTGGCCATGCTTCCTCTATAGCAACTGTATGTCTGCGCTACATGCATTGTGTGTTTTCCTGTCTTTATCTGATGAGAAGTGCAGGAACCTGAAAGTCACTGCTGAGTGTTACAATGAACTCAGAGATCGGGCCAAGCTTTGAGAGCATGCCGTTGTTTCCCCGGGTGCCCCGAGGCCTCAGCCACCAGCCAAGAGTGGAGCCAGGTCTCAAAGTCTTTATTAACAACAGAAGGCCAGCAAACACCGCTTTGGATCTCACTGCTCACAAGGAGAACAGACGGGGAGAGGGAAGGAGAGTGAAAGATAGCGACAGGATAGTGATGAAGAGTGGCAGGCTGATAATGGAGAGGAGTCAGAGAGAGACAGGCTGATAAACCCCAGATAGTCAAGGAGTTTCTGCCGCGTCTCTGTTACCGTGTCCCAAACAGTGCAGCCCATGGCACAACAATGTAGAAAAAACTGTATTTCAAGATAAAGTCCTGCATTCAAAACACGACTAATATACAAGTACAAAATGCCAGAGCACTGTATAAAATTTGAACTCTAAATATTGACCATTTTACTGAAGAAGCTAGTGATCTATTTTATAAACATTAAGGTTGTTAATCCAGTCGTTCCAAAGATGGGGTAAATGGTCAACGCCATTCTCAACGGGGATAGAAAGAAGAAAAAGAAGTTAAAAATATTTGTCAGAATTCCTATTAATTTTTCTGGCTTTCTCTAGTCTTTTGCTATTTGATGATTTTACTTTTGGCTAAAAAGCCCCCAAAAAAAGAAAAACAGGCCAGATTTTACATTTATCATATAAATGAAAAATCGAAATCCAAAAGAAACTTCAACTTTTTGTCCCTGAGGGGAAATTTGTTTTGCTGCCAGGTGAAAAGAAGAAATATGTTGAAAACGCAGACACTTAGACTCAGACATTAAAAACAACATAAAAACATTGATACAAGAGTTCATAAAGTGACAACAGGACACAAAGAATATATAAAATCGTCCATAAAACCATTATTAAAACCAGAGTAAAACCCATCATAGGTCATCAGTGTCATCATTAGAAGGCAGCAGTTTGATGGCCTGAGTTATGAAATAAAGTTTCAAGCATGTATGAAAGTGACAGTCGCTTTAAAACAACATGCGTGCTTCAGACAAGGAAGAGGATTGCACCGACCGGATCTTTACACCAAGGAACATCATTGAGAAATGCTCAGAGTGGATCAATCCATTTGACATCAACTTCATTGACTTCAGGAAAGCTTTTGATAGCTTACACTGTGACACCCTGTTGAAGATCATGCAATCCTATAGAGTCAGAATTGACATTTAGGACTAAACTGTATACTATTTGGGTCATTTAGTCATATTCTGAGATCAAATCTTATCTTCCTCCTACTTCGATCTCACCCAGGGTCAATCCCCCCGACAGCAGCTCTGACACACACGCGTAGGAGGCGAGAACATGGAGAAAGAACGAATAGTATGAAACGTTTCTTCATAACCTTTAAAAATGAACTTTTCACTGAGTCACTTATACAACATCAACAATTTGTAAGACTGTTCAAAGTTACGTTTAGTCTACATGACCGGCCCTGTCATTGTAACTTCTAATTTAACAAAAGTTCACCGTCTTGAGCTGCCTTTGACTCATAAAGCACTTCACCTGCAGGTGCTGCTGATAGGTCTGATGACACTCATTTCAGATCTGTGATTGTGCATCTGTCTCGAGCTTCATGCTGTGGTATCTTTGACAGCAGCAGCATCCCCTAGAGCTCAATTTCAATGACGATTTTGTCTTCCCATGATCTTGAAAATACGATCATCAGATTAAACAATTACATCTTGCACAAGCTTCAGATGTTGTAAAATCAAAGTAATCAGGATCCAAAAATCAATCAAAATAATCATAACTATGATTTTTGCCATGATTGAGCAGCCCTACCTAGAGCCATTACACACAGACTGCATGCACAGGGTTCTCAGAAAACTGATGATGATATCAAACATACTTTCATTGTAGATTGGGTTTAGAGTGACATGAAAAGATCAATGCATTCCACAATGGTCATCTTTGGAAGATTAGACCAATCTTTATTCCAGAAAAGCTCTCCAACAACGGCTTTCACAGAATAATAAACTGTCATAATGTGGTGGTGGGAATCAAACATTGAAGGCTCACACTTGGACATGTCCTCAGAGTGGACCAGGACTGCATCCCTAAAGTAACTTTGACATGAACCCGGTCTGGATTGAGAAAACAAGGGAGGCCAAAAACAACTGGCGGAAAACTGTGACATCAGAACGGAAACGGGCTAACCTACCATAGAGCGAGGCACAACATGCTGCACAGGATCAAAAGGAAGCAGATAGCTGAAGCCTCAAACGACGGTAGGATAAAAGTGAAAGTACTCCAGTAAAGTATTTCTAAAGGTTACGTTAGTATGATACGGGACTAAATCTAGTTACTTTATACCACTGACAGCAATAACACATGAATTTAGAGTTTTGCCAAAAATAGATCTTAAAAATCAAAAAAAAGCATTTCAGTCGTAGATGACACACAGAAAGCATCTATTTGTTCAAATGTGAGCGTAGCTTTTCCTCTGTGGTGTCTCTCAGACCTCCAATGACTGGCAAAGCCTCGCTGTGGTTGAGCTCGCTCCAGCAAAATAACTGTAGCTTATGTCTCTGCAAATCCTAAATCATTAGGCAACTCCCAGCCAATTTAAATCTTAGCTTTTGGCAGATAGAGTTTGTGCAAAAGATGGAGATAAAACATTCAGCCAATTATCCTTTTTCGAAAAATCAGTGCTTTAGAAATACAACCTAAATCCCAGTGAACGACAACTGCAACATACAACATCTTAAATCTATTTTTTTTAACAATCAGCACTCTCCATGAAGGGCTGTAAACTGTTAAACACATGACTAAAGAAAATCAAATAAATCCCAGGTATAAAATCTTTCCCGGCACAGCTTACGTTCTGGCTAAAATAAAACAGAGCTCTTCTCATTTATAGCTTATTGTAGTTTAAAATGATTTATTAATTGTGTTGTGTATAAAATGTGCGTATTTTGGTTTGTGCATTTCATTTATATCTTAGGATAATTATCGCTCTAAGTTAAACTGGATGTGAAGGCCTAACAAGAGGTATAAACCATAGACTCTAAATATTAGTGGACAAAGCCTGAGTGACGTCAGCCATCTGTTATGGCAGGGGGCTCTGGAGACTCATCGGCAGCCTCCATGCTGGAAATGCTGTCTCAGCCTAACTGTCAGTCAACCTAACGACAGGCTGAGAGGTGGAGCTGATGTGGGGTTTAAGCCTCTTGACAAACCGCTACATCGCCTCCACCTGTCAATCATGTCAGCCTCAAGCGGACACTCGATAAACTGCAGGATTTTGCACTTCCACATTGGCTTAATTTTTCAAGATCGGAGGTTGCCGTTTGGTTTAAACCTTAAACCAGCAAAATAAATAAGCTTTCTGCATTACATTAGTTTAATGCTCTATTGCAGCACTATTACTTCTATTACTATTGTTTAATTGCATCTGTTAAAAAAATAAGGACTTGACTCATACAACCCCCAAAGACAAACAAAATAAGAGTAATTGCTCTTGAACACTATCAGCGGTAAGCTACTGTTAACCAACTAAAATGAAGATAAAAAACATTATGTAGTTGCAGGTGATGATACATTTTAATATAAAATATCAATACA